AAAAACTCGATTATCTCGCGTTCTATGCGTCCTAGCGCAAAAATACGCCCAGATTCGTAAAGGGCGCGACGAGACGCATCGATTCCATGTGTCGAAAAGTCGATTTTCGCGAATTTTTTTTTTTTTTAGAAAAACTCGATTATCTCGCGTTCTATGCGTCCTTTTTCGCGAAAATCGACTTTTCGATACATGGAGTCGATGCGTCTCGTCGCGCCCTTCACGAATCTGGGCGTTTTTTTGCGCTAGGACGCATAGGAAGCGAGAAAAATTCCAGTCAGTGGAATCTGTGACATCAAAGAGCTCAGAGTTGTTAAAAGGGAAGCTGGAGGGATATTACTGAAAAGTCGCTGAGTCTGCTAACGACAGATATCCCAGCGTTGCGTGTGGCGCCCTCCCTTTCTTGGGGTGCAGCACTACGATGCCGTTGAGGTCATTCAAACCCCCAGAATTGAGTCTCTACTTCAGTCAATCCTCTTTGCACTTGCCAATGACAGCCCATGCTTCTCGTCTTCTCCCCGCATTCCAAACAATTTTGCCGGTCTCTGGACATCCTGTCCACAATTGTGATAATAAATAGGGTAATTGTTGGTGTATTGAACATTCAAATTGAATTGTCCAGTCAGAATGCCGAACACTCTCCTCGACGTCGACGAGTCGCTATTAAAAAAGAACCTCTTGCTTGCTGTGAGAATATCCTTCAATTTGTTTTTATCCTATCGAAGCAATCATTTGTATTTACATGATTTTTCATGATCTTTACCTCCCAGGAATATAAGGAAAACGAGGATGAGTTCGATCGCCTCCTGAAGACCTTGGAGGAACCCCACACACCGTCAGTTGTCTTCAGACCTCACCCTGGGGTCTGTGTTAAGACCAAAGTTGATTCTGGGGGTAAAATATTCGTCAATATCTGTCACACCACGGAAATTCCACCCCCCGAGGACATCTCTGATGACAGATTCCATGAGATCCTTGCAGAGGATTCTCCAGCCTGGTGCATACCCATGAGCATTGGACATGAACGACTAGAGGCTGATAAAAGTGGAAGCCAGTGTCCTACGTACGACGTCGCAATAAATACAAAATTTTACAACAAATGCCAGGAGAAAAAACATTTCTTTGCCTTTGCTGTCCTCACTATTCTCTCAGCCATCGGAGAAAAGTACGACAAGGTCGTTGATTCTGAGAATTATGTCGTCTTGAAGAATCGAAAGGTCGTGGGGAAACTGCACGACCACAGGGTGGCAAAACGACCCCCCAAGTACTCGTCAGCCAATAGTGCACCAAAGCCTCTGATCCAGGAGATCTCTGAAAATAAATTAACAAAATCCAAAGATAAAAAACAAATGCTTGAGAGCGTTCAAGTTGCTGATAATTCTCACTACGTAATCTTTAGAACACCGAAGGCAGGTGAACCTCAGAAATTAATTGGATACTTTAAACTTCCCAATCAGGTATTAATTTTTGACTCTTTTATGCTGCTAGAAATTACGGTGCTCGATTAACAAATTATTTTCAGTGTTCCAAAAACGATATCCGAGCGGATATCGGTGAAGACAGAATTCTAATTGACGTAATCTCGTATAATTACCTCGTTGACATCTTCGTTCCATTCGCAATTGACCAAAGTTCAACGACGGCTTCCCTAGACACTGATCTCAACGTAAGAGTTTTTTTCTCACAATAATAATTTATAAATAATTGCTATCAACCGGTTTTCTACAATTCATTTATTGAACTTGTTTGTCAACTAGATACTAAGAGTGGATATGCCACTGATATTGACGTGAATATGACACAATGAGGTATTTCTCGATAATTAAAAGTAATTAATTATTAATTACGCGCGTATTCTAATGACTGATCATTGAATTCCCTAGGCCTGGCGATGGAGCGATCGCTGCGATATCAAAAGAACACTTGAGAATATCTTAATTTACATTAGTGATGTCTCATCTTAAATCTACATTTTTATTTTACAAACAAGGAGATTATTATTTGCAAAGTAATTAACTAAGGTGACATTAAATATTTCTGTTTTGATTATTTTTAAAGCTAGTTCCGAACAATTTCTTTTGAACAACAAATTTATGAACAAAACCTAACAAAAAATATTATGGTTTAACGAAAAATATTATGGTTTAACAAAAAATCTCAAATTTTTTGTCTCCACCGAATTCATTTAATTAATTTTCAATTTGTCGTTGTGGGAAAATATAATTTCTAACTTTTTTCAATTGAATCAAAATGCAAAACTATTATCGTCTCACATTTCTGTGTAAAATGTCGGCCTTCCAATTCCCATAATCGTAAATACATTGGGCAGAAGATAAACAGTGTTTAAACCGATCATGAAACAGCTGATGTACTTGCAAAATAAATCAACGAATACTTTGTTCTTGTTCTTGAGTGAATTCTCACTGTTAATGAGGTCTTTGGGATTGACCCTGAGTATGGCACATATTATGGTGTACCCCAGAAACTTGCTGATGGCCTTTGTGGCGAAGACACAGCAAAAACCGAGGATTGTGCGTAATATCGTGCACCCTAGCATCGTCCGCGTCGGCCACATTATGCTGTAGGGTGGTGGCAGAAGAGGAGGCTGCATTGCTCCAGTCTTGAAGTTAATAAGAGCCCCTAAATGAGCACCAGTTGTCACGGACACTACCATCGCCGTGTCACCCCTGGAGCAATAATTTTTTTTTCAAAATTGATCAATCGTTTTGAATGAAATAATTTTACCTCGTCGGTGTCCACTTCTCACTGGTCGGATAATAAATAATAGTAGCAACACTCATAAGGAAGAGTATAAAAAATGCCGCCTCATTGGTGACTAGATAGTAATCGGTGAAGTCAACGACTGGCACTAGTGGAATCATCATCATGATGGCCAGCAGGAGTCCAGCCACGATATCTAAGACTGTGTGCATGCCTAGGTACAGTCTGCTCAGACAAATCAACGAACACCTAGAACGATAATGAGATAATCTATCTATAATCGAACCATTTATCAGTGATAGTAAATTCTCAATATTCATGGAATGAAGAGTTATTGGAATGTAAAATGACAAATACCCACCACAAAACGGCGACGACGACTCCCGCAGGAATTGAATAGACATATCGATTCAGAGTAAACAAGATAATGCCGAATGGAATGGCCACTCCAACCATCGCATGGGTCGATGGCATTCCGTACTCCTGCGACCATTTGCTCTGAAGTCTGACAGCTGGGGGACAGGCAGGACGTGGCCAGCAGAGGATGTCCTTCAAGGCCTGTCCAGCTGTCATAACTATCGACCAGACTAGGATTATTCTCCTCCCAACGGCTCCGTCAACATTCCAGAACCAAAAGGGAATGAACGAGCAGTAGAACATCTCGTCACCCAATTCTGTTCCAAAGAGGAACAAATAGTACCAGAAGTAATTGTTCACTGGCACTCGTTTGTCCGGTAATTTTTCCTTCGCGTCAATAGAATCAGTCGCGTGAGCGATTCGTTTACCATTTTCACGGGTTATTCCGTTCTTCTCGATTAATCTCGATTGATCATCGGTCTCGGAGGTGAAGGCTCTTGGGGATTTCTCGTGACTGATGTCCACGCCAAAGAATTCCTGGATTCTCGCCACCAGGTGAGCATCCTTGAGGTCTTCTAACGTCTCTCTCCACATTTTCTTGGGGTTCTAGCTTTTCACTCACTTTTCTAAGGCCTCAGGATGGATATCACAGTCACTAGACTAAAAACAAATCATTTTCAAGTTGAATCTAAATCTCTTCACGAGATGAATGAATGACAATTAATTAATTACTCTATTAGAAGAATTCTTATCTCAATTGATGATCCCTTTACCTCATGTCTGAGCCGTCAGTGTCAGTTCTACCTGGGATGCAACACTTCTGGAAATCTGCGCACGAATGAGATGGATTTACTCCAACAATTCACGATTTGTCAACGATAAAATCGAATGTCTCTGACTGGCAAAAAAAATCACGAGTGATAGATACGTATGTAAGTGCTGACTTCATACCTCGTAATGCGGTTCGTACTTTGTCTCAAATTCATCCTCTCTCATTCGCTAGTCTCTCTCTGTTTTTGCCGCATTAGCCATGAATTTTCCAATGCTCAAAAAAAGAATATCGATATTCGGTATCGCATCAGATCGGAATTTGTATCGATATCCCAATATATCGCCTTGATAAACATCGATACACATCAAGGATTGACTAAAGTAGAGGCTCAGTTCTCGGGGTTTGAGTGACCCAAGCGGCATTGTAGTACTGCACCCCAAGAGAGGGAGGGCGCAACACGCAATGCTGGGGTGTTTTTTTTTTATTAACGAAGTTTTTATTGCAATGCTGGGGTGTCCATCAAGTCGACGGGGTGAATGTTATTTTCTGCTGTACGAATGCTTTTTGTTTTTCATTTGTTTAACTGAAATTTAGCCGACTGTAGCACGTACGGAAGGGGGAAACCACATCTTGTGGAATTTCAATGGAAAAAATTATTCAATGTATTGAATATATACCACTAATGAATTTAAATTCTTAAATTAGCGCGTTGTCCTAGCGGTAACGTGCTCGACTGGCACGCCGGCGGCCCGGGTTCGATCCCGGCATCAATCATTTTTTTATTTTTTCAAAATAATTCCAATTTTTTTTTTTGTTAATGGCAAATCAATCGAAATATCGTTTAAAAACTGAATATTTGAAAATCCAGGAGATATCCAGTGAAATTGAAAAATTAGCAATTTTTTAAAACGATACTTTTGCAAAATATATACTCCTAATGAAATCAATCAGTCAATCCTCTCTGATACACATACAATGAATATCCATCACCCACGACTCACACTACCCTAAAATCGTCGCGTTTTTTTTCCATAAAAACCCGCCGCAATTCAAAACCATGGCGGGAATTGTGAGATATTGTAGATTTTCTTGCGCGTGTTTTGGCAATTCATTTATTCGTCATTTACTCCGACGGTACAGAAGATCTCCGACGAACAATTCCAATTATTCCTGAATAATCGCGCAATGTTTATTTCGATAAATTATTTTCTACTTATCGTCACACTTGGAAATTCCGAAATCAATAGTCTAAATCAGTGGCACGTGCATTCGAGTACCAGCTAATTAACATTTCCGTTTTCAACCGTCATCAGAGCTCAGGATATATTGAAGTACCGGAGTCTAACCCACCAAGGAGAAATTCTATTGTACTTCTGTACCTGATGATTGCATCAACAATTCTGAGTGTTGATACGCATTTACGAGAATGCTGGAGGGACTCGTTGCCTGGGTGCTCAACAATTATCTGGGCAAGTACGTGGAGAACCTGAACACAGATCAGCTCAGCATAGCCCTCCTCTCCGGTGAGCCCTTTAAATTTCTCAAATATTTATTCTGAAAAAGCCCCGAATATCTAATAATTTCTAAAATTAACAGGTGAGGTAGAGCTCGAGAATTTGCCCTTGAAAAAAGAAGCTCTACGTCACATTGGCCTGCCAATTGAGATAAAGGCAGGTTTCATAGGAAAAGTGAGAGTACAAATTCCAGTTCGTCAGATCAGATCTGCCTCATGGGTGATTGCTATCGAACAGCTGTACCTGGTGGCCGGGCCAATCAACCTAGAGGATTACGACAGCGAAGTTGAAGAGCAGATCATCCAGGAGTACAAGCACAGCAGGCTAGACTCGTTGGAGGCGAGATGGCGAGCCTCAACAGAGCGAGACCCTGGATACTACGCCTCGAGCTACAGCTCCTGGCTGAGTTATGGCACTTCCCTCGTAACGAATATAATCGAGAACCTGCAGTTGAACATAAAGGATGTACACTTTCGTTACGAGGACGATGTGACCCCTGGACTGTCAGACAAATCTGGAGTGGCTCTGGGGGTGACGATCAAGGCCCTCTCAGCCCAGAGCTGTGACGCCAGCTGGATTCCAGGATCTACTTCCTGGAATTTCAACGATGCCTCCTTCAAGCTGATGGAGCTCGATGGGCTATCCATCTATTGGAACCACTTGGACTCCTCTCAGATGTTTGGTAGTCTCAATCTTGGTGACCTGGCTGTCGCCATGAACGACTCCAGGAGCACCATGTGGAAATACATACTATCCCCAGTGAGTGCCTGCGCCAGGATCAAGAGGGACAGGTGTGAGAAACCTCTAAGGGCCATCAACAGACCGAGGATCGTCGTAGATCTCCAGCTGGATGAGGTGCCACTACTGGTCACCGATGAGCAGTACGAGCAAATGGTCAAGTGCATCAAGGAGCTGGAGGACATTGAACGGAGGAGGAGGCAGAGACGATGTCGTCCTCACTCTTCTATCTCCGATGCTCCAAAGGACTGGTGGAAGTATGCGGTTCGATGTCACCTCGGGAGAGACGCTTTAAAACCAAAACCCACGTGGAAGGACATTTATAATAGAGGAGTGGACAATGTCTTCTACGTGGACACCTATCAGAGGATCCTGGCGACACCCACAGCTATTTTATCACCAGATGCTAAAGCCAGGAAAGAGGCAATTGAGTATGAATTGAATTATGATGAGTTAAGGGTTCTCAGGGAACTTGCAATGGCGAAGGTCAGACCTCCTGTCCCCTCCAAACCGTCGATACCGGAGACTGAGGCCAGCTCTCCAGCTGCGCGTGGAATGCTCGTCCAGTGGTTCCCCCAGTGGTGGGGCTGGTATTCAAAGGCTCCACAGGCTTCTACCAATTCTACTCAATCTGGATCTTCGACCTTCGATGGAGAACTCCTGGACGTTCTCGCTGATACCATTGACGATAATACTCTCCTCAGGAGGGATACCGTTTTCGGACAGTTTAATTTCACTCTCTCGAAGGGGGCGATTTCTCTCTGCACCAGAAATAAAGACAGTGTTGGTGATAAAATCGTTATGGAGTTGCAGTTCGAAAGAGTTGTACTGAGCTACGAGTCTCGCCCCAGGTCTGGCTCTCACAAGTTTTCTATCAGCCTGGGGGCACTCTATCTTCACGACTTTTTGACGGTTAATTCAATGTTTCCGATTTTGATTCAACCTCAGACACTGCCGGTCTGCACGTCTCGGTTGAGATCCTCGTCGGAGAAACTTGTGGCTCAGCAAACTTCTCAACAGCCTCTTTTTGAATTGATCTACGAGAAAAAACCATTTCACGTTAGTACAGATCACTCTCTGCACTTGAACACTAGATCTCTGGACGTTGTGTATAATTCTACAGCCATCAGGTGGCTCGTGGACTTTGTCAGCAGGCCCCATAAAAATTCTAGTAATCCCAGGCTCCAGGCCATGAAGAGGAGAACTAGGAGGCAACTGATGAAGAATTGGGAGCAGATTCTCGAGGGTGATTTTGTGTATAGATCCTCCTGGGATCTGCAGTTCAATATTTCAGCTCCACAGATTCTTTTAGTTGAGAATTTCCAGGAATCCACTGCAGCTGTCGTTGTCGTAGATTTTGGAAGGCTTCATTTGACTAATAGTATCGATAATAAAAAGGTTGTGCTGAGGCCAGGATCTCCTACGAGTGAAGACGACATCGATTTCAGTCAAGGAAAGGACATTAAGGACTTGGAGAGGGACGACGACGATGAGGAGGAGAGATTCCAAACCCCTTGCTCCACTCCTCCAGGAAGCCAGGAGAATGGCTCCGTTCAGGACTTCCAGGGGATTTCAGAGTCTGCTCTTCACCATAAATTGTATGATCAGTACAGTATATACTTGTCGGACCTTCAGGTGCTCGTTGGAAAAGTCAAGGACAACTGGAAACACGCAAGGACCAGGGGATTGTCGACTCTTCACGTCCTGGAGAGATTCAATATCTCCCTTCAGATTGAAAGGAGAGTCGTTTCCACAGTCGATCCTCAGTTTCCATCGTTAACGATTTCCGGAAATTTACCCAGATTAGTTGTTCACGTAAATGAGCAGAAGATCGAAGCCCTGAGATCCATGTCCAATCAGTTGATCACGAGTTTATCTGGAGCAGAAGGATTCGGACAAACGTCGGCAAGTGAGCCAGAGAGCCCGAAGAAAGAGGAGCACTTGGACAAAGCCATGAACCACGCAATGATGATTCAATTCATGATAGACCAGATGACCTTTGAGCTGCAGTCCAGAGGGAGGAGTGTCGCTGAGCTCCAGGTGTCTGGGGTCAGAGCAGCCATGACTAAAAGACCAGCAGATGTCAGTGTATCGTTGTCAGTTCATGGGTTGCTCCTCGTGGATGCTATGCAGGAATTTGGCCCTGATTTTGAGCTGCTAGTCGCTAGTCACAAACACGTGGGGATGGACAGTGTCTCGGGGAGCTTGAGAGACTCTGAGCCAACCTCTCCAGTTTCACCAGTCTCCCCTGGCTCCCCTGATCCCACAGTCTCCAGGAGGCTTACATCACCTGTGGCTCTTACTCGTGCTTTATCCAATTTAGCTCATGACACAAAGAATTTATTCTCTCCGAGGAATAATTCCCTGATGGGGTTAGATCAGCTGGACAACGAGGCCCTGATTGTAGTGGAACTCACGCTGATCGAGGATCCCCTGGAGAAACTCAGAGTGGCGAGTATTCAGTTTAATAACCTTGATATAATTGCCAATCAGGAGACCATCGTGGAGTTGATTGGCTTTGTCAGGCGTCTATTGCCTTCTTCGAAAGTCCCGAAGAATAAAACAATCACCAGGCAGGATTCCATCGTCAGTCTGAGTGTCGAAGGCAAACCAGAGAGAACTGAAATCACATTTGATTTTCACAGGCTGAATGTTTTGCTTTTGAGAGCAGTGATGCAGGACAGTCACCTGATTGGACAGAAAATAGCAACAGCCACGATGTCAGATGCAAGAATTCAAGCGACACTGGCTGCAAATACTTCGATATCGGGGTCTCTCGGTGGTCTTCAAGTACTCGATCAGACACTAATTGGAAAAACTCATCAGAGGATTATCAGTGTGGGGCGGGATCCCCTGGCAAATCCCTCTCACAACCCCCTGGAGCACGTCTCAGGCCTGTCAAATCAGCCAGAGGCCTTCAGCTTCTCAGCGAGCAGAAATTCAACAGCTGAGAGTAGTGGACCACCTGACAGTGTCAGCATCGCTGTAAGGATTGGGAGTGTCTGGTACACACATGCCCCTCATCTTATCTCTGAACTTCGGTCATGTGCTGATGAGTTTAAGCAGTACCTGAGTAAACTAGCGAGACATATTGGTGCAGCTGCCACTGACATGGCAATGGGTCTGGTCCACGAGGACTGGAGTGGACCCCAGAGAAAGCGACTACCCAGTTTTTCATCAGTGGATATTGAGCCCAGTTCTGGAATTCTCACGCTCAAGCTCGATGTCGTTCTAGACAGTCCTGTTCTTGTGATACCGAGATCCTCTCACAGCTCTCAGGTGTTTGTAGCTCACCTAGGAACCATGACCCTCCAGCACGAGCCTTCCGACGATACTAAATTGACTGTGAGCCTCGATGTTCGTGACATCAATCTTTATTCTCTCGACGTCAGTTCCAAAATCTCCCACATCACTGGGACGAATCTGCCCCTGAGAGCAGACGACATGTACAGCTGCAAAGAATCTGGGAGACCAATTCTTCATGACACATCGTTGAAAATACTCGTTGAGAAGGGATTTATAGCTTCCCTTCACAGCTCTGGATTTCTTCTGGATCAGGACTTCCAAACCGGCACTCAACAACCGATTGTTCAGGTCCATGGGGGTGTAATAACTCCATTGAAGGTCTCGCTGTCCAGGAGTCAGTACGAACAGCTTCTCGACACTATTCACGTGATATTTTCAGCTCCTCCGAGCACCTCTTCAACTCTCCCCCCAGCAGAGAGCACGTCAGCCTCCAAAAGTTATTCTAAATCTTTTCAAGTGGCCATCAAAGTTTTCTTCGAGCTCCCTACTCTGAGCATTCAATTAAAGCAGGATCACTCAGAGCAGCCCTTGGTGGAGCTCTCCATGCAGGAGTTCGTTGCAAAATATGAGAAGCTGTCGATGACAGAGTCAACTACACAGGTTTCGCTCAGGTCTCTCCTGATGGAGGATCTTCTCTGTCCAATTGGCTCGAGGCACAGGTCGATGATGCAGTCCTCGGCTCCCAGTCGAGCAAAAGTGCCTCTGGGTGTCTCGAGATCCTGTCCAGATCTCGCATTCAACAAAAAATGGAGAAGCGAGTATGGCAGGGGTTCCCTCCCAGACAGACTCGAAACAGATACTCTTTACGGTACTGTTCCTGCACACTGGAGGAAGGCCTCATCCCTCGTGGGGACCCCCAACACACCTCCACCGTCCCCTGGAGCAATCACCTGTGAGGAAAACCTCGTTCTTATCAGCATCACAATGAGGGAAATAATCCCCAAGAGCAGTGACTCCTTGCCTCCGCGTCCTATCCTCCAGAAATCTGTCTGCATCGATTTTAATTGTCTCGATCTGGTTGTCAGTGTCGAATCCTGGATGATCGTTCTTGATTTCTTTGGAATTGGCACGAGCCAAGTGAGCTCGAAAATTTCGACGAGAACGAGAGACCTAGCAACATCGACAACTTCAATTGCAACAGCATCAACTTCGACTGCAACCAATGGTCCAGGAAACGAGTACATAGATCCCTCTGGAGCCGTCAAAGAACTCCACTCCGATACGGAAATTGACATTCGGTCGTTAACTCTTGTTCTCACTCGAACAGACAAGGAAATTGCTAAAGCGAATATTTCTAATGCGAGTATGACGATTGTGAAAGCCTCGGGGAAGTCTAAGGTGTCTGGATCGCTGGGCTCGATGTCTCTGTTGGATTTGACTCCTCATGGCCGATTCTATCGGGAGAGATTCTTGTCATCAGGGAGAAAAGCTCTCAACTTCCAGTACTCGAGTTACGAGGACTCCAGAAAGCTCTCCTACGACGCTAAACTCAAGCTCCAGATGTCGTCAGTGCACTACGTGCACACTCAACGATTTGTCGCTGAGCTCCAGGCGTTTTTCAGGCATTTTTCGCAGTTGCGTGCTGTTATGCAGAATCTCCGGTCTGGAGAAGTGCCCATTCTCTCGATGGAACAGACTAGGGGAACAAGACTCTCTCTGGAGCTTCATGCAGGCGCGCCTGTGATCCTTCTCCCTGTGAGCTCTCAATCAGACAAACTAGCTGTTCTCGATCTCGGCGAATTGACTGCCCACAACTCATTTCATCACTCCAAGGACTCCACCCAGTGTCTTCTTGATATTATGCTCCTGGAGCTGGTGAATATGGACGTGTACGCAGCGCAGAGGATCAGGCAGAGTCTAGAGGGAAATGACTACGATGACAATATCGGTGAGACTGACACCCTGATGATCGGAGGATTCTACCTGAAGAAGCTGGGGCCATCTCTGCTGACGGAGAAATGTCATTTGAGCTTGAGAATTGAGAGGAACTTGGATACCTACGTCAACAGGGATATCCCAGACCTGAGCATTCATGGGACGTTGTCAACAATGAATTGCGCCCTGGATCCAGCCCAGTACATGCTTATAAGAGGTCTTTTGGCTCACAATATTGGGGAGAACCTGGATGACATTCTCCACTTCCTGGACGATCTCCAGGAATCCACTGAGTACTTCATGGCTGAGGAAGCGGTTGGGGGAAAAGTCTGGACCAAGTCCTGCATTATCCTGGATATCGTCAACGTTGCTGTGAGGCTCCACCCCAATCACGGGATCGCAGCGCTTGCCTGCGTGAATTTTATCAAGTCCAGGCTAACCCTGGACTCTCTGAGCGATGGCTCCCAGGATATCGATCTGGTCTCCCAGGAAATTCTGGTGATGGACACGAGGTTTCAGGATGAGCCCGTTAACAAGCGTTCTAACGTCTTCACGAGCATCCTCCAGCCCTTGAAGACCTTCGGGGGAATCGAGGACAGAGTCCAGGCCGAGATCCACCACAGGAGGAGAAAAAACAATGCTGCGACGACTATTCTCCTCCACAGCATGAGACTGACAGCTATTTTGGATTGGTGGGAGGCAGTCAGGGACTTCCTCGTCCTCAATTCTCCAGAGCCTGAACCCATAGGAATCGCAAGACCTCCCCTTGTCTCCCAGGAGATCGATTCCTCGTCCATGACATCCGCGCCCGTCGAATTGAAACTCAATCTCACTGACTCTGAACTTGTGATCGTCGAGGATACCTCCCTTTGGGATACCAACGCAGTTATTTTAAAATGCACTGCAGTCCTGGAATACAGATCTCATCCACAGGGCGAGGAGAAGCCTCTGTCTTGCAATTTATCTCACTGCGAGTTGTACTCCTGCATCCTGGGGATGGAAGAAGAGACAGCGTTGTCCATTATCGATCCAGTCGGTGCCAGTGTTGAATTGACGAAGGAGAGGGCCCTGGAAATTCAACTCCAGCCACTCAATGTTAAATTAAGTTATCACGATGTGACAATGTTTGGGCGAATGGTCAATTCCCTTCCTAAGCAGACCCTCTGGGCTAAGCAGAGGTCCTTGTCAGGCCCCCCAGCCAACGCCAAGAGCCACATAATGAAACTCTCTGCCCTGGGATTCGCTGAAACTGATTGTGAAGCTGCTCTGGACGTCTGCAATGGACAACTGGATGATGCTGCCTTGTGGCTGACTCAGCACGCAGTCCCCAATGCTGAGGATAGTCGCTCGAGAGATGGATTCCAAGCGATTGAGATCGAAACCGCTTGTCTCAGAATCTGTATCATTGATGACTGCAGAGATGCTGATGTTCCTCTGGCTGAGCTCGTCCTCATGGATTTCTATCTGAGACAGGCTTTGGAGGGTCCTGGCTTGATGCGAGCCACTTTGGGTGTGGACTACTACAACAGAGTGCTCAGTGGGTGGGAGCCCTTCATCGAGCCCTGGAAGACCAGCGCTAGGTGGGAACATAGTGTTGGGAATACTTTAAATACCAAGAGACTTCAGGTGGAAGTGCAGTCAGAGGACTCAGTTAATGTCAATATCACGTCGACTCTCGTGGAGCTCGTCAGTCTGGTCAAAGACAACTGGACACAGGATTATTATCTCAGCAATAAGCACGATCCTGTCTCCAGATCGTCATCGACATCGTTAAGTAGCCTCCAGGGCTACTACAGGAGACGATCACCATTCGTTCCCTTCGCTCTTAAAAACGAGACAGGCACGAATTTATGGTTTAAGACGTTCATCGCTGTTGCCGATGACGTTTGCCAGATAAGTGAGAATTTTAATGATGATAGTAGTCTGATCCGAGATAAAACGTGGTGTGAAGTGCCATCAGGGGAGACAATACCATTCACCTTCGAGGAGAGGGGAAAACTCAGACATCAGACGACTCATCAAGTCAGGAGGCATCAGATAGCTGTTCTCGTGGAGGGTTGGAAGCCAGTGGATCCCGTGACTGTTGACAGAATTGGAGTTTACTTTCGGCATGCCAGTCCCGATCTCAAACTTGTGGGATCGAATGCTGGGAAAGCTAGAGTTGTTTTTGCGGTGGAGCTCGAGGGATCTGCGAGAAAACTCGTGACAGTGAGATCAGCCCTCCAGGTAGCCAATAAACTTTCACACCCAGTGGATATTAAACTCGAGAAGCTCGGCTTCAGCCAGCTGGGGTATCTGAGTGGACCTGTGAACGTCCTAAGCTCCAGCACGAAAGTCCTTCACGTGCCTGAGCACTCAGTCATGTCTGTACCCCTGACTCACACCAGTGTGAAGATGCACATCAAGCCTCAGCACCCTAATTACGCTTTTCAGTACTGCATGGAGCCTATAGAGTGGACACTCGTGAAAAAACCTATGGAGATTATCGAGGTGCTCACCACCTGCAGGACCAATCAGAATAATCTCTTCAGGATGTGTGTCGCTGTGAGGAGGGACAATTATCCAGCTGACGTAGGGCAAAATATTCTTCCAGCGCACACGATTTCTCTTCTTCCTCCGGTCACACTGACCAATCTTCTGCCTTACGAGGTGATGTACCAAGTGTCGATGGAGAGTGGGAGAATCGCTCCAGGACAGAGTGCTGATCTTCACAGTGTCAACGTTGAAGAGCAATTCGAGATCACTGTGCAGCTTGATGGATATCCTGGGAGTGGGACTTTGATACTTTCTCAAATATCTGGATCATTCGTTGGGAGGATGAAGCTGACGGACTCTGCTGGGAGGATCCTCTACCTCAATGCTGTTATTATCGTCGAGAAGGGATCAGCAGTGAAGATCAATATTATAGCTCCTTATTGGATCGTTAATAAGACTGGACTGCCATTGGTATTCAGGCAGGAGGGGGTGGGCTCAGAGGCTGCTGGCCAGTTTGAGGAGCACGAGAGGGCCAGGATGGTGGCTCCACTGCTGTTTTCCTTCAGTGATGAAGAGGCCAGTCGAACTTTAGCTGTCAGGGTGGGCTCAGGGGTGCATTCCAACGGTATTGCCCAGTGGTCTCAGCATTTCCATCTCCAGCCGGGAGTGCAAGTTCACCGGCTGCGGATCAGCCTCAGGGATGGACGACCTGATATCGTCTACCTCATTGGGGTCTCTACGAGGACAGCCAGGGGGAGGTACAGGGCCACCACTGTTGTTACCCTCTCTCCGAGGTATCAATTGCACAACAGATCTTCTTGCACGCTGGAGCTAGCCCAGAGGTGTTTCACCACTACTGTCAGTCATCCAGATGCTCAGGCAACGTACATCACAGCAATGCCTGACTGCCACATGCCGTTTCACTGGCCCCGGCTCGATAAGGATCAGTTGCTTTGCGTCAGGACCATCGATGTGCCTAATTGCATGTGGTCTGGTGGAATTATCCTCGATGGCAATCACTCCTTGACCATTAATATCAGGGATGCACTGGGCAAGATGCATTTTCTCAGGGTCGACGTCGTTCTCCAGGAGAGCACCTACTTCATCGTCTTCACTGATGCCAACACAATGCCACCTCCAATAAGAGTTGACAACTTTTCCGAAGTCGCCTTGACCATAAATCAAGCTGGGGTCCTTGACAGTCTCCAGTGGACGGTCAGGCCTCACTCATCAGTGCCTTATGCACTCGATGAACCGACCCAGAGTGCTAATCTCATGGTGACAGCACCTGGAGGAGTCACTGGCTCCTACGATTTAAATCTCCTCGGGGAGAATCGATGCCTCACCTACGAGAATTTCATTTATATTGCATTCACTGGTACTTTCAAAATCGATGGCGATCTCGGGACTGGAGAGGGTGGCCTTGACCCTCTAGATGTCGAGACCCAGAGGCTAGTCCTGGAGGCTGGGCCTGGGGGCTGGGTTGCCCTCAGACGAAAACAGAATGGGGCGAGGTCTCAGCTCTGGCGAATGACTGGAGATGGGCAGCTTCAGCATGAGGGCTCCAGTCCACCCAGGGACAAACATTCGAGAACTCCTGACACCGTTCTTGTCCTGGACATCGCTGGTACTGCTCCACAGCCGTTCACTTATTGTGCTCTGGCCTTGAGGAGGCCCCACCATAGGAGACGATCCACCCAGACGTGGAGATTCACTGATGATGGGAGACTCTGCTGCGCTCATAAGAACATGTGTGTCCAATCCAAGGACGGATTCATGGGACTCTATGAAGGTTTGATTTTTTTACCATTTGCCTGGATTAGGGGTATTTCAAGTTGCTTGGGCAATTGATTCATGTATCATACATTTTTTTTGTTTATTTTTTGGTGTTTTTTAATTTTTTATTTGTCGAATTCTGTATTGAAGTGAAAAATGACTAATCTAGAAACATGAGAAAAGTTAATGAAATAGTTTAAAAAATTGTCACCACCTCTTGGCATTTCCATACGGAATTCCCCTGAAAACTTGAAGCAATTAATTGAAAATCATAACTCGAAATACCCGGTAATTAATGTATTGATGAGAAAAAAAAAATGTTCCAGGCGGCAGTGTCGCCCGTTGGCAAATGTGTACGTACAGATAAAAAAATAACGCTGAAAGCGTTACTCAATATGCATTACGCTTTTATTTTCACCTCATACTCATTGCTTCACTATTGAATGTTCACGTCAACTGCTTGACCAATGCATTTTGTAATACTTACATGAGTAATTAACATCACTCTAACTAAATGTTGAGTCAACACTGATAAGGAAATTAATTACCAGGGAGTGAGGCCGTGTTGGGCCCCCAGACCCAGAGCGACCCACCACCAATTGAACAGAGAGTGGGAAGACAACGACTGAGACCTGGATCCGGATTTCTGTCCGTTCGAGTCACGACTGATGGACCAACTAGAGTTATACAAGTTCTGGATATAAAAGAAAGAGTAATTGTACTTTACCACAGCCTTTTATCTTTCCACATTGCAACAAAAGACTAAAGTGGTATTTAATTCTAGAAAAAGACATTTGCTCTCCTCGAGGAACGAGACTGGTCGCACATAGCAGTAGCTCAACGTCCCAGTCAGGTAGATCCCGCTACGAAGAACCCTTCAACGCTCTCTTCAGAACTCCAGGTGACCATCAGACTGCCTGCGGGGCTGGGGCTATCAGTGGTGTCCAGACGACCAGTGGAGGAGCTCCTCTTCGCTCGTCTCATTGGAATCGCCTTCGAAACTATCCAAACCCTTTCCAACACTACCCTGAACCTCAGCATCGACGACGTACAAATTGACAATCAACTGTTCGAGGCCCAGTGCACCTCGATCCTCTACATAACACGTCCCTCTCGAGCAGAGAATGACGAGAGGCCAGCGATTGACATTGCCACCGAGAAACTACCCTCGAAGAACCAGAATGCAGAGATCTTCAAGCACCTGATCGTCAGCATAAAGCCTCTGTGCGTTCACCTGGAGGAGCGTCTGATCCTCAAACTGGCAGCTTTCGTGGGTACTGGGGGGTCAGAGCTCGATGTACCTGTGGATGAAAACGATTTCAAGGCCCAGAGACTTATCTCTGAGGTGTCAGCAGCCCACGCCAGGAGATACTACTTCGGGGTTCTCAAACTCGTCCCCAGTCAGGTGAAACTCAGTATTCTTACAACCACAAAATTGCCTAGACACCTTCAGTCTATAAAACGAAAGCTAGGGCTCACCCTCATCAAGTTCGAGGATGCATCGATCGAGCTGGAGCCATTCGTCAAGAAGCATCCTTTCGAGAGCAGTCAATTTCTCATTCACTCGATCATAAAACACTACAAAGATGAGCTGAAGTGGCAAGCAGCTGTGATCCTGGGTTCTGTGGACTTCCTGGGTAATCCCCTGGGATTCGTCAACGACGTATCAGAAGGTGTCTCTGGATTAATCCACGATAAGAGTGTCACGACTCTCGTGAAGAACGTGACACATGGCCTGTCAAATTCAGCAGCTAAACTCACCGAGTCCCTCTCCGATGGCATTGGCAGAGTGATCCTGGACGAAAGCCACGAGGAGATGAGACAACGAATCCGTGCAAATACTGCTGGCAGCAGTGATCATCTAGTGGCAGGGCTGAAGGGTCTGGGCTTTGGATTCCTGGGGGGATTCACCAGCATCTTCAAACAGACGTACGATGGTGCAGCCAACGAGGGCTTTCCTGGATTTATGTCAGGTCTGGGTAAGGGTGTCGTTGGTACTGTGACAAAACCAATGGTTGGAGTACTGGATTTGGCGAGTGAAGCTGCCACAGCCATCAGAGAATCCTCGAGAAGTGCTCACCGGGCGATACCCAAGAGGGATAGACTCCCCAGGGTTGCCAGTGGTCCTGCAGGACTCCTCCCTCCATACAATTACCATCACGCCGAGGGCCAGGAGTTCCTCTACACCATCAACCAGAGAAACTATTCAGAGCTCTATGTCGCCTACGAGAATCTCTGCTCTGGAACTGAGAATCTCAGTATTCTCGTCTCGAATGAGAGAGTCAGAGTGATATCTGGCAGTACCAAAACTGTCGTCACCGAGGTCAGTCTTGCTGATTTAGTTCAGTGTCAGCCGATTCAGGTGAACGAGACAAATGGCAGTATCTTGTATTATATTGAATTGACGTCGAGAATCGACTCTGCTGGTGGAGTTGGCTTCGATGGACCTGAAGTCCTCAGGAGACCCAAAGTTAGATGTGATACGGAGGAAATTGCCAAGTGGGTCTCTCAGCAGATTAATTATGCCAAAGGAATGCACCAGGAGCGCAGGCTCACCCTCATGTCCTCTGACAATATGTTAGACGACATTCATTCGTACAAGTAATTTTCATTTGCGTTATTTATTTTAATGAGAGAATAACTCAAAGGGTTTATTTATTATTTCGAACTGTTTGAGCTGAACACACCACAATCTCTAGCATTGCTATTTATATTGAATGGGAATGGGGCTGTGAATTACCAGTTAGATTTATTTTCACTGGAGCTAAAGATAAAGTATGCGAGAGTCAGCGAATTATAAAACATGCACAAAAGACTGAAAATACGTAATATTAACGTATGCAATCAACAATTTTGCCTATTTTGCTTGGTTGAAAGAGTAGAATGAATTGTTAACTATTAGACAGACTATTATTAACATATCATTCAGTTATTTCCGGTTTAGCAGTGGCTGCGTATTAGTTATTTGATTGTAAATACGTATTTATTTTTCAGTTTAATTGATAAAACCGAGGTAATAAATGTCATAGCTTTATTTTGCCCAAAATACAAGATGGTTTTGAAGAAGTTATTTTACCAGATATTCCTTCCAAATTATTTCCTCGAGTGGTGCGCAGTCGAGTGATTGCGTCGGGTAAGTCTTCCCCACCAGCTGCGCACTTCTACGTCACTTGATTGCTTTAACTGATAATGCACTTTGAAAAGGTGAGCTGCTATCGACTTGAAGTATCCAAGTGTCAAAATAGAAAACCGGGGGAATGTAGAGGAGTTATTTACTGTCAATAGTGATATTTATTTGCCGAGGATTTGATATTATCCAAAAATCCTTGATTTAACCTAATGAGGATGATGAATAATCAGTTGGATAATGATGAGGGGCAGATGGTGAGTTTCGACTCAGCCACCCTGAGGATCGCCAAGGAAAACGACGATTCAGGTAAATTCAATGTTTATTATTCATTACTCCGGAGGCGAAGACCTGAATTTTTTAGATGTCTGTTTGAGTTCGTCCCTGAGTCCCGCTGTGGCTTCACTGGTGGTTTTTTTATCATTCATTCAGACAACAAAGACACGTATGCTCGTGGATCATCAACCGATGCACCCAGACCATCAGCCACGAATGTCGCAAGTATTCCCTTTCGACATGTGGACACCCATTCGTTTTTTTCTGACAGAAATGAAGTCGTCGAGAGAGCTGTCAAGGAATGTCAGGAGACTCTGCTGACAGACCAGAATGATGAGGTCGTTGGCACCTGGTTGTTGACAGAGTACGTGGAACAGTAATTGTCAAATTTCGGTCATTAATTGCTGCTCAATTATTTTTCTAGGATAAGCCTGTGGGATACCGAGAAGGAGAGGATTGTAATATTGACGAAGAATTCAATATTAACAATAAAATACGACTTTATATCGCTGAAAGTTATAGCTTTTCACAGAATTCCTCTGGGGGATGTCGACACCGTGGCCTATGGCGAGCTGGAGTATCCAGCTGCTTCAGTTGCTCCGTAAGTCTTGGATAAGTGGAATTAAATAAATCCGGTTGAAAACATGTGTCTTACAGGCGACTAAATGGATTTGCTGATGGATTATCTTCGGTGATTCAGTGCGCGATACGTCAGCAGTGGTCATCGATTACCGAAAGATCTGATATTCATTTTGAGCCAAGGTACATCAATTTTCATAGATTCTCAGGGAATGAGAAAATAAGAGGATAATGAGAGATAATCCGCTGTTTACAGAAAGCGTAATATGAATGGAGTGAGGATAATGTGGAACAAGGGGAAGCCCTTGTCATTCGAAAAGAAGTGGAATCCCTTTGGTAAACGTATCCCCTGGCTCACATTCGCCAATCACCCTCTTTACTGGCATAAAGGTGATAACTGCCTGAATTTTTGTAATTGTAGAATAATTACTGGTACAAAGATAATTAAAAAAAATATATATGTCAGGGATTTCGATGAGAGGAAACTGATTTTGCTCGAAAATTCCATTTTCTTTATTAAAAAATATCGAAAATTTTGTCCTTATAAATTATATTAAAAGTAATTACACGATTAATAGTTATTTATATATGCCGAATGCAGGATCAAATGAAGAAATATCGAGATTCGACGCAGACGCCCTGCACTCAGCCCTAACGACAATTCTCTCCGACTCCTGTAATTTCGTGAATCAACCCCTCATCGTGGAGAACTACCTGGGGCTCGGTGCATTGATCCACAACAGGAATTCCCTGGGATTCTTCAAAGTTCGTGGAAAAGTCAGCTTCTAATCGAATAAACCGACCTAACAATATGATATTAACTTCCAACCGATCCAATCTGCATGTTCTACCCGAAAACTAACATATTTCGATTCCCCGCTTAACGAATAAATTAACAGAATAAAGTTAATTGCTTGAGTGTAGTTTATTCATGTCTACTGATGACACAGACTATTGTCCATACACCTGAGGCACTATACTCTTCTGTTATCGATTTAACAGGGGGAAAAACGCTCGGTTTTCCCTGGTTCGATGACGATAAACGTCACAGAAACGTTGACCAATGTAATACGCAAGTAAAAATAAACAAAAAAGTCGATTATCCAGTTTAAAGGCCATAATAATGAACAACAAATTGATTAATACCTGGTTTTAATTAGTGTTGCGAGAATTAAGTCACTACCATGAGGTTGTTCGATCGTTTAGCAAATTTATTAGGATTAAGGAAAAAAGAAGTTAATGTGTTAGTTGTTGGACTTAATAACAGTGGTAAGTCAACGGTCATAAATCATTTCAAACGCGAGGACGACCGTTGCATTGATATTGTACCCACTGTTGGGTTTAATGTCGAAAAGTTTGCATGTAAGTTCCATAACCAGTGGACATTATCATCCATCAATTATCATTAATACTGTAGAAAAATATTCATTTTATCCGAAGGTGTTGATCTATGAAAATCTATTAACATTAATTGTCAATTGCCTTCCACTATTTTTTTTTCTTCGCTCCTTCCTTTCCTTTCGTCAATTTTTTTTGTGTTTTCTCAGCGACAATTGGACTAATGTCTACTAAAGTATTCGGTTGCTGTCTATTTTTTTTAGATCTGTGCAATGGGGTACTGGAGACTGCCTTCATAATTCTGGGATTTTTCATGGGGTTTTTACCATGTGGAGTGGAGTCGTCAGAGTCTTTCGGAGGCAATTTTGAGAAATTCAAGGTGCTCTGTCTAATTTTTGATTTTTTGATAGGCTGTGGGACCTTTTGCGGACTGTTTTGCCCCGGTTGAGTCTTTGTTTGTACCTTTGGTTGAGTCTTGGGTTGAGCCTTCGGTTTAGCCTTTGGTTGAGCCTTCGGTAGAGTCTTGGGTTGGGCTTTTGGTTTTGGCCTTGACTTTTTTATCACAGGCTTCTTCGTAGGCTGCTTAAATCTCTCAGGCTCCTCTGACACCTGTGATCCAGCCTCTTCTTCAGTTTCTTTATTCTCCTCTAGAGAAGGCGATCTTTTTCGTTTCGTTGGAACTCTTCTTGATCGGGTGGGTCTGGGACCTTCTTCTTCAGAGTCAGACAAATCGTTCACGTTTAGGATCTCTTCGCCCACCTCTGTAGCCTTCCACGAGAAAATATTGTGATTGGACTCTTCAATGTGCCGATAGGCCCCTATTAAATTCTCTACCCTAAAGATCTTCACGAAGGATTTCAGCCCCTTGACATCGTCCTCACTCGGTTTCTTCTTCATGCTCCAGTCCACGTTCACAGTGCTAGGCCTAGCCTTTCCGTAATCGTAGGACAGATACACAGCGATGTCCACGAAGTTGTCTGACGATTTCCGATACACCTGGAGAAAATTGCACGTGATAAGGACGAAACTATAGTCTGCATCTACCCTGATGTTTTTAACATTCTTTGTCAATTCTTTCAGCTTCTCAAACTGCTCTTTCCTGTCGACGTAGCAATCCAGGTGTCTCTTACAGTTCCTGAAGAAGGGGATGAGCCCTGTCAGCTTGTCAATGGGAGTGTCCTGGAGGATATTCTCCAGAATTCCACTGGAGGGCATAATGTATTTCCCTATCCTTCCGCTACCATTCTCAGTGAAGAATTGCAGTGTGTACAAAGAACCATTCTTGATCGTTGAGAAAGGCGAGAAGTTGAAGATGTACTCGTGTTTAGTGAATTTAGCGCAGTACAATCCTGATAATTTATACAGCTCATACTGCAGGAGACAATCAACATTCTTCAATCTGTAGGACCTCATTGGCTGCACTGGCAGCTCCAACATTTCTGTGTTATCAATGTCCCCGAATTTCGGCTGGTTCAGAGCAAATTCTATTTCGGTTATCAAATCCTCGAGTTCACTGATCTGACTTCTCAGACTTCGTTTCTCCTCCTCATGAGGATCTAAAATCAACAATCCATTATTGTTTATTCCATCACATTGAGGTTAGGAGCAAATAGGATCAGGTATTTTAACTCACCTTCTTCATTGAGCTCCTTCTCGTCGTCCTGGATTTTCTTCCTCCTCGAGCTCTTCTTTTTTTCCATAATAACTATCCACTTATCCTTTTTCACTTGACAAAAATTCGAATTGTGTGAGAGAATAATCACTGGACGACCAGATGTCCCGCCAAAACATTAGCAGCTGATATCCCCCACCATAACGATCGGCTTCTCTCCGATTGGCCGACACAAAATTTTTGTTTTCACTGTTTTTCGCAATATTGCAAGTATTTATTTTCTGATTTCAGTTAAAAATGTGCACTTTACAGCGTTTGACATGTCTGGACACGACCGATACCGATCCCTCTGGGAGCATTACTACAGGGATTGTCAGGGGATTATTTTTATCATTGACAGCAGTGATAAACTGAGACTGGTGGTGGCTAAAGAGGAGCTGGACATGCTGCTACAGCATCCTGATGTGGCCAGTGAGTTGTGAAACAATTTCCAGATATTAAAAAAGAAATTGTATGAACTCATTATTTTTCAGGCAGAAAAATTCCAATTCTCTTCTTAGCGAATAAAATGGATCTGCCGGACTCTCTGACGACGGTGAAGCTCGTGGCAGGTCTGGGACTCGACAGAATTCACAATAAGCCCTGGCACATTCGAGCAACGAATGCAGTGACTGGAGAGGGCCTCCAGCCAGCAATTGAATGGCTCACAGATCAAATACGAGACATCTACATTAATAATAAAAGATAACTACTCCTGTAACACCAATTCCCTGTATAACAATCAGAAATGCAGTCAGAGTGCCGTTTCTCCGTCTCGAATAAAAATGAAGGAAGGACTGTCCCGAGGAATTCACCATTGCTTTATCCAAATGAAAAATAATTTATTTCTATTATTTATTATTTACTGTCCTGGCATCAGCCCCTAAATTTCTTGAACAAGGGATGCTTGTTGGCTGTTGATGAAGACGCTGACTTCTTGTACTCGTAGTAGACAGCGTCATCAGCTCCAGATAAAGAGGCCAAATTGCCAGCCTTTCTAATCACTGGTCTTAGCCCCTCTCCAGGGATCCTCTCCTCGTCTGCGTCAGTGTCACTGGCAGAGAGAACTTGCTGAAGAAGTTGGGTCTGCTCCTCACGAGTTTTGTAGAACATATCTGGCTCTCCATCCATTCCAGCCAGTTTTGTAATAACTTTGTAGGCATATCCCTGATTAACGAGGAATCTCTGCCTCTTCCTCGAGTAGTTCATTTCCATGGTGTCCTGGGAGACGAGAGTGTAGAAGAAAGCATTGTACTCTTCTGCAATTGCTCCTTTCTTCGCTCGAAGGATTCTCCCCAGTCTCTGGGCCTCCTGCCTCCTGGAGCCTCCATGCGAGGATATCTGGATCAGGACGTTGGCCTCGGGCAGATCAAAAGACGTGTCTGCAACTTTACTCACGAAGATCGTGTTTACTTTTACGTTGAACTTGAAATTCTGGAGAATTTGAATCCTCTCATTCTGGCTGGTGGGCCCATAGATGTAGGGCTTATTCATTTTTATGGCGTAGTGCTTCAGAGCGAAGACGTTGTCCGAGAAGACGATTGTCTTGTCTCCTCTCCTCTCGTGGTATTTTATGAGATACTGGCAGGCTCGGAATTTATTTGGATTCATGACGTAGAGGAGAAGTTTTCTCGTCATCTTGCAGCTGAGGTATTCTCGGTAAAACTCTGGGGTCATGGGGCACCAGACCTCAGCACACTGCACCCTGGCGATGAATCCCCTCTTCTGGAGCTCGAGCCAATTGGCCTCGTAGAGCTTAGGACCAATGAGGAAATTCAGGTCTGCGATCTTGTCGTCCTCCCTGAGGAGAGTGGCTGTGAGGCCGAGTTTGCAGTGAGACTGAACAATTGTCAAGACTCTTCTGAACATTTTAGCTGGAATCGTGTGAACCTCATCGAGCACCATTATTCCCCATTCCTGTTCCTGCAGCCACTTCATCGTCTGCTCTGCCTCCCAAGATCTCTTCTGGGTGTGAGTTATCATGGAGTACGTTGTCACGAGGATGCCACAACCCATGGGCTTATCCTTAGCTTCACTGGTGAATCGACAGATCATGGAGTCATCGGCTGTTGACCACATCTTGAACTGCTGCTTCCACTGCTCGACTGAGACACCAGAATTGCAGAGTACCAGGGCTCGTTTACGAACGGTACAGCAGGCTGTAACTCCCACCAAACTTTTCCCCGCACCGCAGGGCAACACTATCACGCCAGATCTAGCTCTACCATTTCCAAACATCTTCCTCAAACTTTTCTCCTGATAAGGCCTGAGAACAGCCGAGGGCTTCAGATCAATATTGATGTCTGGATTGACTGTGTCATTTCTAAAATCGTACTCTGCCAGTAATGGATACTCCAGCTCAATGCACCTCTTCTGAATGACTTCGATCTTCTCCTGATTCACCTCGAAGCTCACAATCTTCAGCCGCTGCTCCTCCTCTTCATCCTCGTCCTCTTTATCGATTTTATCGTAAAAAGTGGTAATATCCTCGGGTACTACTGCCTCCGAGGATATCTCTGTCGTTCCATCCTGGACCCCTGATCCCCCAGCCTCTGGGAGGGCTTTTGCTCCAAACTGAAGGGCTTTGCTCTTCCCCTGGATGCTCGTTATCAAGGCATCCTTATCACTCTCATCCACAGCTTTTCGCAGTCTGCAGTTCTGGATCACTGGATCCTTCAGTAACTTCTGCAACACCTCAGGATACGGTGACTCCACAAAGTACTTGTTGTGCTTCAACACTAGTTTCACTTTGCCATAGGACAGGGTACACAATTGGATAAACTCAACGATCCCATCGGGAATACTCGTCTTGCTGAGTCTCTTCAAGTACTCGATGATGTCATGTGTCTGAAGACCAACACTGACAGCTGCATACAACGAATAGGCTGTCAATTTGTACTCGTGAATGTGCTCAGGTCGACAGACAGGCTCGGATATGGCGATGAGGAAGTCGTGTGCGTGTTTATAAACTGGAGAAAAGGACTCGAGAAATATGTGGCCATTAGGAGCCACCCAGAGAGGTCTTGAAGTGTTGTCTGGCTTCAGTATCATCTGAGATCTGTAGTCTTTGGCACCAAACTCATCCTCCAGGGCATTCTCATCCAATTTCTCAGCGTCATTCTTCGCTGCATCTGGAATACCCTCTGTCTCCATTCCATCACCAAAATCATCCTCATTGTACTCCTCTTCTTCCTTTCTCTTCTTCCATTTACCTCGATCTGCAAGAGTAATCGACTTTATCAAGGAAAAACGATGTAAGCTAATGTTAATTTCATTTATAATTATTTTCCTGTGATTATTTCAATTATTGTAACACTATGAGAGGTTAGGGATACGTACCATCTTTTTTTACGCGTTTTGGAGGTCCCATTTTTTTGATTTTGACTGGGAATAGTTTTTTAAAAGTGGAATTACAGTTTTATTTGATCATATCATATTTTTATTCAGCAATAACACTTAAAGTGAGACTACATGACTGAAGAAATGTCACGACTTGACGTGTGCAAACAGCAAACGATTTCCTACTGTCGGTTGGAAGTAAAGTTGGAGGGGGGACAAGGTATTTTGATTGTCTCCAGGAAATGCAGAAGAATAAAAAGATAATTTCGTAATTACTGTTTCTTTATTTTATTCTCCTCCTATATACATATTTAAATAATTGAGCCTATTTGTTAATTTCGTGTCGCTGATTATAAACTAATTATCCTAATGTTACGTTTTCTCCATTACTATTGAAATCTTCGATCAAATATATATAACCGTATTTAATTCACTTAGTTATATACATATAATCTATTCTGGGATTAATGAAGGTGTAATTTTCTAAATAGAAATTAGTCGTTAGTTATTTTCGTGTTAGCCAAATAATTCACTAGAGAATGTGTTTTTTTTGTGATATATCATGTCCCTGTAATAAATTAATAGCTGCTTGGGGAAATGATAAGGGAGAGTTTATAAAAATACTATGAAATGGTTCTAGTGCAATTCCAATTTTTTCGTTTGAGTTTATTAAGTACCTAAAGTGCTGATAGGTACGTTTGCCCAGCCTTAAAATCATAATTACGTCGATTTGTTATCATTAGTCCATTGGAAACCATAAAAAATATATCGATTACGTTCTGCAGAAAGGAAATGGGAAAATCAATGCAGTTGTTATCGGTAGCATCGATTCGGGAAGATATTACGGAAATTTTCTCAATTTATCCTCCAATTTTTCTCAGTTCAACAAATTCTCTTTCTACTTTAGATCTTATTCTTGAATACTGTAATATGAGTATTAATATACAAACTATACAATAATAACAAGTTTTTAAATGCAAAAAACTTGGAAAAATCAGTAACATCATTTACTAAGAGGACCTTCTTTATTTTTTCATCGTCTTAGACTTATAAATCACATTTTGCATTTTCTTTCTGCGTATCATTTAGTCAATTCAACGGTTAAGAACAATGATCGATCAAACATTTGGAATATTAAATAGATGTTGACTTTTTCCATTTTCCTTTCTCATTAAAAAAAATCTCGAGAGATTTTTCCAGGTACCTAATTAATTTCCCCAGAAGACTATTACTCAAACATTTTCATAGATTTTTTATGTTTGTTATGATCTCTGCTATAATACTCGATAATTTATAAATATTTATACAGTTGAATGCAGCACCAACTGGAAGGAATGTGAATAATTCTTCAACGTTTGAATTTAAAAAATACGTGAACAAGGAATGATTGAATTTCATTAATTCTCACTTTCGTTTTTCATAGCCACTCGTGGGTCAGCGAAATGAAAGAGAAGGATATGAATGTCCTCAAGGAAAAAAAAAGGAGAAGGAAATAACGTGTGCCAATCCCTAATGCAGAGGTAGACAGAACATTTGCTTCAGGAGTTTTTTCCTCGAGTTATCCTCCTCCAAATCCTTGACCCTATCGTAATCATCCTCACTCTCATCCCCAACCTCTCCATTACCACCAGCATTGCACACAATACCAACATCCTCGATTCTCAGGGCATAAGAAAAATCCGGTTTCTCGTAATCAATGAAACCCATCCCATAAGGATTATAATTATTGTCATCATGACAGTTAAACATACCATGATAGTAATCACCTGAAAAGTAACTCGGTGGATGATTTGTGCCAAAATACTCATGATGGGAATGAAAGTTCAATGTTGCAAGCCTGTCCTCTAGCTCGCAAATATCATAGGGTAATTTTGTTCGGTGTAAATAATTATGATGATAATCGTAATCCCAATAGTTCTCTTGTCACACACAATCCTCGAGAGACATGAGTAGAGGATTCACGTACTCAAAGCCCTCGAATTCACTCTGATCAATTTTTTCGATTACCCTAGTGTCATCTGGGGTGAGATGAACCGGTTCGTTAGTGAATTCAGGTGGAAAATTCTCAAGATCCCTCTCGGACTGTAATTTTGGCTCATAAGGAGGTGTCACTTGCTTCTGCTCCAACATTGTCCAGTCGATGGCCTTGAAGAAGGCATGGGAGGCGATTTCAACGAATGATTTTTGTCCCTCTGCACAGCCCAGTCGATTTGCTGGATCTTTATTGAGGAAGCCCTTGAGAACGGAAGCTGCTTTGACAGATAGGGACCTGGGGATTCTGATAGTCTTTTGGAGAATTACTTGGAACAGGTAGTCTTCAGTGTTCTGATCTGGATTTTCAGAGGCTCCAGCAATGTCGAAGGGACTCCGACCTGCCAGCATCTCGTACAAGAGGACACCGAGTGCCCACCAGTCCACGGAGAAGCTGTAGTCCTCCCCTCGGAGGATCTCAGGTGCGATGTAATTGGGAGTTCCACAGAATGTCGCTGTAGTGTCACCCTCACGAACCCCCTCCTTGCACATACCGTAATCTGTCAACTTCACGTGCCCCTCGTGATCCAGGAGAACGTTATCAAGCTTCAAATCACGATAGATAATTCCTGTAAGAAGAAAAATAAATTGTAAATTGCTTGAATTCTATTTTTTATCCCTCTTCATTGGATTTCTCACCCTTGTTATGTAAAAAGTTTAAGGCGAGACTTATTTCCGCAGCGTAAAATCGTGCATGCTCCTCGGGAAGACGACGTTGTCTCTGCATGTGGAACATCAAATCACCTCCACGCACAAACTCAATGACAAAGAACAAACGCGATGGGGTCTGGAAGCAAGAGTGAAGTCCCACGAGGAATGGATGATTGGAGGCAGTCTCAAACACATGTTTCTCCGTCTGCACCCAGTCGATGTCCTCATCATCGGTTACCAGTGCTTTCTTTATTACTTTCATTGCGTAAATTCTCCTCGTGCGTTTCAACTCGACCATAAGTACTTTAGCATACGAGCCACGACCAATCACACGAATCAGCTCAAAGTCATTGAGGGAATACTGTCTCTGCATGTCATTACCACCATCAGCACCTGCTATGGCGTCCAGGGCAAGCTCCTCGCCATCATCACTGCCGGAACCTGCTCGTAAATAATGGGAAAAATAAAGTTCAGGTTTAATTTAATTAGTTTTTTAAAATGAAACTGAGAATAGAGTTTGGGACGAAGTTTGGGTGGGAGTTTGCAATGAAAAATTCACAGTGCTATTTTAGCTGAGATTGAATGAGAGGAATTATCGATAAGTGACTCACGTCTGCGAGCTTGTTCCTCGAGTGGTGGAAATTCAGTGGATTCATCCTCCAAGTGGGCTGTTGGACTGCACTGCGGTGAATCCGACTGTGCTTGATCGCCATTGCGGTCAGATGACGAGTGGTCTGGTGTGTGTGGTGGTTGTTGCTGCTGTTGAAGGCTCAAGCACGGCTTCCGTACGACTTTGTGACACTTCTTGTGTACCAGAAGTTTACACTGAATACACTTGAAGCCCTGTCGTCCCAGTCCCCAAATACGGTCTTGGCAGAACGCGCAAAATGCTCGCTAATTAGAACAAAAATACATTCATTTCAGTAATCACCATGTCCTCCGAATCAAAATAAACTACAGGAATAAACTTACGCGGTTGAAACGCTTCGCCTGGAATATATGACCATTCACTCTGTACAATTTTCGCCATCTTCTAGCCCCACGTCTATAAATACTTCCTGTTGAGACAATTCATGTAATTAGGAATAACATTAGGGAGTATAATTCAATTCTTGTAGTACAAAATATCGGGAAAAATCGGGGTTTCAATTCCCTAGGCGATTATAAGGTAATTATCACTCGAGGTAGTGAATACAGTTGTTATTAATTTACTAGGCCAGCACAGAATGGACTTTGGAATTTACCGAGTATTAACGACTGCAGGATTATCATTTTAGCTCGGAAGTCCATTGGTGCTCGCAAATATTATCAAAATGAACTGATTTATATATAAAGTACTGAATTGACGAAGTAAACATTCGCTCGAATCGACTTTCCCGGCAGCAGTAAACAAATATTCGACAATGCCAACTCTAAAGGGCACGATATATCGATGAATATTATCCTGGAATTAAGCCAGGTGAATCAATTAAAATGGTAATAATTCATCGTTTAATGTCAGTGGGTGGTGGTATCATTTCATCTGTTCCAGGAACTTTGGTAATTGTTTCTGGGAAATTATGGAAATGAAAATTATCGGTGTACTTACTGTCTTCCCCCTGGCATGGCATCCCCGGGGCTGGTGGAACATTGGGAAAAACTGGAACAATAAATGTTTAACGTAGTTGTTAGTGTCAATTACAGATAGTAACGAGATAAGAGCAGGTGTGTGAATTGAATCTAATGGATTTCATCGAGAATTTGATGATCTAGAGTACAATGCGCTGTATGGGTTTAATGGATTCGATTGTGCGCTGTTAAATCGATAAAAAAAAAATTACGAGGGTAATTAACTGGTTTACTCGTTACGTGAGTACCTGGGTACAGAACAGAGACCTTGGCGATTATTGAAGCCCATAAGTAATCCCGAGTATAAATCAGGATGACCGTACATTATCGGTATCCCAAACATTATATCGTTGGTATAAAAGCTCATCCTCGTGGAGGATGATCGGAGTATGATCGGATAATTGGAACTAGTTTTTCGCCAGCGCAGAGTCATCCCGAGACTTATGATACAGTACTGACAACAAAACAATACGAATTTCTCCTCGTAGATTTTATCGGGCTTATCTCTACCTGTAAGCGGATTTGAGTCTTAATTCTTGAAAGAGTGATTAAAAGTTGACCTCATTTTTTTTTATTCATCTGTCAAAAAAGCGCTGGGGCTTGAGGGTTGAGAGTAGGAATATTCTTGTACTCCTCGCTATTCTACCCTCCATTGTTACCCTCGACCTCGTGTTAGTTTTGTATTTAAAATACGAGTTGTGAAGAGATTAGAATTAAGCCGGAGTAATGTGGGGAATATGGATTGCTCACTTGTCATCCTGAAACATGCGCTCTTTTTTACGAGAGTGAGAAAATTTTTCAAGATGTTGGGGATAAAATTCAGGGGCTGGAGAAATTATTATGGAGAAAAATAATTGAACAGGGGGAAATAAGGGCATGCGAGAAATATCGAGGTCTCCAATGGCATGAAAATAGAGTTCTATATGTTTAGGAATGAGAGTGCGCATCTCCACGAGATCGAGCGCCACCAAGAACTCATACATCTAATATGACCTAATACCTCCATGCTTATTTGGCCACGCCTGTTTCTTTCCCATCGCCAGGAAATGAGTACATTTCAGCTATCCTCGAAAGGACAATTCTCAAGTGAATGCAGATCGCGTGATATCTCCGGGGGAATTGATTTCCCCTTTCCAATTTTCTTATTTTTATTACAGCCCCTCCCGACCCCAAAAACGGCAACAGTGTCGCGATATCTTTATCATTTTTTATCTATTTATTTTATTGAAGACAAATGTTTGATCGAACCGAGAGGTATATCCTGTCCCGAATGTGTTTAAGCTGTTGGAATCGATAAAGGTAGTGATCGATGGAGAAATTAAATTATAGGTGGGAGGGGGAGAATAATTGAACGTGTGATTGACACGAGATATACTTTATCACGAGTGCGATAACTTGAGAATAATTAACGAAAGGGTAATTGAAGTGGGTGGGGAGGGGGATGATAACGTACCCCACTTGATGTCATCGAGTCGAGCAGTGGCATAGGGAGGGCGTGGTGCTATTGGATAATGTTCAGATGCAAGTGATGACATAGAGGTGCCAGGATCAGCCGGTTGGGCACAGGGGCCATGAACAACACAACAACCAATTCCAGATAAGCTGGTTCTGCTTGATTCGTAAATAACTTCGGGTACTATTATTTCATCGCCAATTTCCGTATCTGTACCATCGTCATCTTGGTGATCTGGACGATCGAAGCGCAGGGATCTGTGCCCCTTGAGTCGACGATCAAGGGATGACGTTGCTGCTGCACCCGTTGATATTGTGTGACACAGTACATCGGTGTGGATGAATTCTTGGCAATGGGACTCGTGTTTCTGGGGATAATGGAGGCCCAGGGTGATGTGGGGCTGCTCGTACTCGGCTGAATCACTACCTGGTGATGGTGGATAATTACTCGTGCCTGGTCTACCCATTAGACCCGAGGATAATGTAAATTCATTGGGTAGACTTGATGATGTTCCTGTTGATGTTGCACCCTCGATCATACCTGGGGTACGTTTACCGGCTGCGACGGCGGCTGCTGCTGCTGCTGCTACTGAATATGTATAAAAGCCACCACCCTGGCTGCTCAATAATTGACTGGTATCCTCCGATGTTAAACCACTCAGCTCTGAACTCTGCACCCCTGAACAGCTCTGAACACCCATTACTTCACTTGGTGTTTGATACTGCGACTGGGATGATTTATCCTTCTCCCGACGGGGCGAACGGCCACGATCACTTACTGATGTCGCGCTCCAGTAACCCCACGCCATATTTTATTTTATTTCACTCAACACTGATCTGTACTCGTTATCTCTAATTTAGAATAGGCTGATTGTTCGGTTTGCGGTGGTGATAAAATTTGATATTTGGATTTATTATTGCTCCGGGGTACTCTCACCAATGGACTAATTGTTTAGCGCCACTCCTCGATTTTCACCCACTCGAGGTACGTCCCCTGCCGGCTAGGACCGATCGATCCTCCAGGAGTTACGTTTTCGGCGGCTGATTACAGATATCAAATTCATGTATCGGTTAACAGGTGCACGATTTCAGGTTTTTTTTTTTAAATTCAATTTTTGTTACTTTTTTTGTTAATTTCTGTGAATTTTTTGTCACTCGATTTTTGGTGGAATTTTATTGGACATTGGAGTGATCCTCCAGTGGTGCTACGGATCGTTGACGAGGGGTTCGGGATAATATTTCGTTAAAAAATATAGTTCAGGTGGATTGCCTGAGGATCCACCGAGTACCGCACACTCGGCCCGTGGAATGGCTATCGACTGCGGCTAGAGGATGTTACTTGGGTGCCGCCGCCCGGCGCAGGCCATTTCGGCTGCGCAAACTCCAGGGGACGAGCAGTTGAAAAAAAATCGCGCAAGATTTCTTTTTTTTCTCTGCCCAGGAGTTGGAGGGCTTATCCAGGGGGGCAAACCACCACTTGGAGATCGTGTGTAGGTGTAATTAGAGATCGGTGACATGAGTGATAGAATGGATGATGGGGAGTTCTCCTGTGCTAGAGGTGTCAAGGTTTTTAGGACGATCTTTGTATCTGGGGAGCCAGTGTGTGATGAGTGGTTCATTGTGTGCGTCAATGGGAGATTCTGAGGCGTGGCCTTTGCGGTATATCATGCTGTATCATTAAAGATCGAGGTTGTGCATCAAAAACTCTATTATCCCTGTATCCAAAGGGATTTTATGGAATCTCTATCATCGTCTGTCGGGGATTCAAGGGGGGATTTGATTTATTTTATTCATTTATTCTGTAGATATCTGGAAATTCGGGGAAGTCTTATTCGATCGAGAGATTTGAAATTCAATAGGCGATTGGTAAAGCGAGATAAGTTGAATTTTAAATATTATTAGAATATCTCGGATTGTCTGTTGATAAAATTGTTTTTTTAACGTTTCAAGGATACCTGTGAGGGGGAGAGCTCCGGATATGTTTAAACTCACCGTGAATTGTTATTCCTGTGTCCTTCTCGAGCTCATAAATACGAAGTACCTCATCCAACTCCTGCTGTGAGACAATGCGACACGGATCGCCCTCATCATCGACCCATTTCATCGTGAATTGATCTCCACCGGTGCTGGTTGCTGCACCAAATCCGCATATCGTCCGCATTTCCTCCCGCAGGCTGTCAACCGTTATACTAGGCGTGATGTATGTTATGTGGACCTCCCTGTCAAATAATCACACGTCATGAGTACCGCTCCAGATATTTCTTCCAATGGGATTTAATGAGCACTGGGAATTACAATGCTCGTGATTGAAATATCATTTTCAATCTGACAGTTGTGGATATTTTCATTGCGACAAATCCTGTCACTAGAGACATGTCACCGATTGAACTAATTAAATTACGTATTTACCCATTGTACACTATTTTAACTCTGATGTCTGCATGGTCACTCGTCTGTGTGGGCATTTTTGCTCTGAAGGACCTCACCACTTTGCCTGCAACACCATCAACATCTTGACATCACAAAAAAAGGATAAAAAAAATCAAAACCAAAACCTTCATCCATTATTTCATTATCTAATCAGTTCTCTCATTACCGAAGATACTTTTACTCATTATTATGGGGAATTTCAATCTCAACACATTTCTCTCACATATTTTCACCCCATGAACTCTAGAACTCCATTCACATTATTGTGGAGAATACGAGAGAGTGGATTTAGCACAGAAGTACAGCTTGTATTTTTTTTCTCAGTGTCTTAATCGTTTTAACATTACGCAGAGTCCCACACAAGTATTTCATACATACCTACGTACATACACATACATGGATACATTAAAAAAAAGAAGAGAGAATGCAGCGTTGAAAAAAACTCTTGACAGCCTCAAGTGTTCGAGAGGAATGATAATTAATTATTCAAAAGTACTTGTGCCGGGGTAATTTATATTCTCGGGGGTTCTCGGATGAAATTAAACAGTGTAACACCGACACCCGAGTGTTCAATGTCTTCTGACGAAATCCACCCGTTTCAGAGAAAATATAAGACCTGTATGACTCAAATAATGAAGCCCATACCCATTTAGTTGTCTTTGATCTCAATTGAAATGAATGGATGAGTGTTAAGTGGGATAGAGGGAGAGAGGTAGAGAGAGAATGGAGGAATCAAAATAAAAGAACATACCAAATAAAACCGGACAACGTCAGAATGAATTAAGACAGTTTATGATTGTTGAAATATTTTAATTGGTAAACGACGCTCGTGGTGTTCTGGTGTGGCCCAGAGCTGGAGAGGTTCTGTGATGGAAGCCAAGGGGCATTTACAATTCGCGGCTGTTGTCTTCGACCAATTCACCAATCAGCTGTCAACGTGAAAGGGCGCCCAACTTTTGTGTTTGGATTTTTTTCTATTCAGTGGAATTGGTGGAATTGGTGGAATTGGTGGAATTCAATCGATCAACAACCTTCAAATTAACCTCATTTGTCAGACTCGTCAATCATTGCTGTTTGTGATGAATCAGTGATATTTCGAGGAAATGTCTGTCGATGGAATTAATGCCGAGGGAATTCTTAGAGACGTCAGACACGCATTTCCCATTCTAGAGGGTAAGGTGCAGTCTCAGTGCTCCGATGATGAATATTCCAGAATTCTCGAGGGAATTAAGAGAGCTAACGTTGCTGATCGTGTCAGGGCTGTTGTCATTGAGGAAATTAAGTTTCATATCCGGCAACAAGTGGCACCGGCGTTTTGGTCCAAATTTTCTGGGAATTTCGATGAGGAGCAGGGATTCGAGCAGTTTAGGAGGGCTGTTGATGATCTGTACTCTAGGCTTTTGGAGTTTTTGCCGCTTTTGAAGCGGCTCGAACCTCTGGGGGTGGTTAATGAGGCACAGGGTAGATTTCAGGGTCAGAATCTGAATATTCTAGCTCAGTTCAAGCTGATTGTGAGGTCCACGTTGTTGAGTCAGTTGCCCGTGGCTCATGATGTTATTATTGAGCAGTTCTATAAGATTGCTCTCAATGTGTTTTGCAATACGGATTCGTTGACAGTTGGTGAGTCTTTCGAGTCCTCAGAAGTCTTTTGATGTCTTTCGTATTTATTTGTTTTTGATTTTTGATAGACTCTGGGGAAGTGGCGGCTTTGCAATGCGCTGGATGCAACAAGGAAGTCGACAGTTGTCAGTGTCAGATGATTGTTTACATGTTTCATGAGACCAATCGAAAGTTAATTGAGCTGGAGCTGTTGGAACGACTCGTTGGCAATGTCCTGACCTCTCTCATCTATGTCAGGATCAGGGATCACGTTCACAGGGTCTGCGACAGGTCTCTGGATGTCTCCCAGCTGTCGTCTCTGGAAACTGTGAGGAAAAAACAATTGTTAAAGTACATTCCTGGATTAAATTTTATGGATTATTATTCTGATCATTCTTTCTCCAGTGGCTGGAGACGGTTGTCCTGAGCTGGCTAACTCGCATATTTTCCGGTGGCTCCTCGAAGTCGGTGTCATTGGACTCGAAAATCAAAGACGCTATATTCAAATTCAAGAGGAAGCTATCGTATTATCTGTACGAGACTTACACGAATATCAGGATTTCCCAGTTATTCAATATAATCATTGAATATCCAGACTCTCAACCGGCAATTGAAGACCTCCGGATTTGCCTTGAGCGAACTGATTTGAGAAAGGCTCTGATAACGAGTCTCCAGGAGGCCCTGAAGACTAGGTTACTGCATCCTGGTGTAAACACTCCGGATATTCTGACAGCTTATATCGCAGCTATTAAAGCTCTCAGGCAGCTGGATCCAACTGGAGTTCTGCTGGAGACTGTGACAGAACCCATCAAGTCGTATTTAAGGAGTAGAAGTGACACAGGTGAGTTATTGGAAGTTGTCACCAATCGGCAGAGAATTACCACTCGAATTTGTGTTTTTAATTTCAGTTCGATGCGTCGTAAGTGGTCTCCTGGACGATTTTCCCAGTGATCTAGCTGACGAGTTAGTAAAAGGGGAATCCCTCCAGCTGGATGATGGCTCAGTCGATGAGGAGAATGAGGACTGGGAGAAGTGGATGCCAGATCCGGTGGACGCTGACCCAGCGAAATCCAATCAGAGGAGGATGTCAGATATTATCTCGATGCTTGTTAATGTTTATGGCAGTCAGGATCTCTTCGTCAATGAGTATCGCACTCTTCTCGCTGATAGGCTTCTCTCCCAGCTGAATTACCACACTGACAGGGAGATTCGGCACTTGGAGCTGCTGAAGAGGAGATTCGGGGAGAACCAGCTGCATTATTGCGAAGTTATGCTCAAGGATATTTATGACTCAAAGAGGATCGATGGGTTGATCCAGACGAATCCGACTTACAATACTGGGGAGGAGTCCTCTTCAGGTTCTGGCTTCTCCACTTCAGCTCTGATTCTCTCCGCTCAGTTCTGGCCGCCCTTCAAGGAGGAGTGGAAGTTGGAGCTTCCCAAGTTCGTGCAGAATCAATTGGATAAATATGTCAAGACTTTTGAGACACTCAAGGGGAACAGGACTCTATGCTGGAAGCCACATCTGGGAAATGTCAATTTGGAGATTCAATTGAGGGACAGGAAGGTCGATATCAGTGTCACTCCCATCCATGCGACGATTATCATTCATTTTCAGGAGAAGAATCAGTGGAATGTGGAGGAGCTCGCCGAGGTAATGCACGTCCCTCCCACCATCCTAAGGAGGAAGATATCGTTCTGGGTGTCTCAGGGACTTCTCAAGGAGATTGAGAATGACGTGTTCCTTCTGCAGGAGGACAGCAATACGAAGAATAGATCCGTTGCTGAACAATGCGTCGAGGAGGAGGAAGTGGAGAGCGTTATGGCCAGTGCAAGTGACCAGAGGGAGGAGGAACTCCAAGTCTTCTGGAGTTACATCGTTGGCATGCTGACAAATTTGGATTCAATGCCTCTCGAGAGAATTCACCAGATGCTCAAGATGTTTGCTTCCCAAGGGCCTGGAGCTGTTGAGTGTGGACTCCCAGAGCTCAGGCACTTTTTGGATAAAAAAGTCAGGGAGCATCAGTTGCTCTTCTCCGGGGGGCTCTATAGGCTGCCCAAGCTTTAACCATTTCTAGGGTTTCAAAACGTTTTTGTATGTTTTCAAAAAATAAATTCAGAATTACGATTATAATATTTTGCCTTAATGGATTTATTTCTTGAGCTTTTCATTTTGTATAAAAGAAAAATTATTGAACAAAGTGAGAAATAACTGTAAAGAATTTTTGGCGTAAGTTTTATTGCCCTGGACGTGAGAGAGTCTTGTCCATGAACTTCTTCTTGGCAAAACACAGCCACCATTTGCTGGGTTTGCCGTTATCACTGTAGACTCTTTCCACCAGACGAGCCGCTGTTTCTTGTCTTATTTGCTGTAGATATTGCCTCATTTGATCTGGAATGATTTTTATCCGCAATGTATCTTTCAAAAATTTGCGCAGGGAGGAAATTATTGATCTGTGTAACTCACCAGCTTCTGTTGTACTACTAGGCTTAGCGTAAACTGAATTCAGAGGAAATCCTGGATCCCCTGGAATATCAAACTTTGAAATCGCGAGGGAATACATTTCATTGAGAGCTTGATTCTGATTTGCACATTTTTGGAGCTTTTTCAGACACTCTGTGATGTAAAGGGTAATGTAAATCAATACTCTATCGGCTTCACTCTGAAAAATACCAATTATTATAATCAAATGTGATACATTATATGTTTTAATTGAGATGTCCCCATACCTTAATTTCGTACGTCCTGAAGAATACATTAGCCCTAAAAAAATACAACGCCTCGTCGATGATATCCTGCTCCGTTCCTGGGGAACAAGGAGGGGCTGGGCCTCGGAAACTCGTCTTCAGTGGCAGTAATGCCAGATTCCCCAAGGAACTACCATCTTTGACAAAACTTGAATGATAAGCCTGAAAAAAAAGCAATTCACCATCAGCCCAACATTTTCCTTGAACGTCATCCACAACGGGTTACACCCATTTGATTATTAAATCTGACAGTGACATAGTGAATAAACAAAACAATAAAACACATAATTACCGGCATTGCGAATGTATTCTTCCTCTACAAGCACTTTTGGAGGACTCCTCCAAATGATCACTCACTTCTCAATATTTATCTTCACTCCATAAATTGCACTCTAATTTCCAAAAATTATCACTCCTTGGGGCATGAAGGGCATGAACGGCATGAATCACGGCGGACATTTATCCATTCTTTTTTTATCACCAGAGATAGATTTTACCGTCAGTCGTTCAGGGAACACTGGAAGAGTGAAATTATCATGAAGCTGGCAATCTCAGAACTGCACGCCACCTGGAGCTGCTAATCTTGCTGTTCCAAGATGGACGTTCTTTCCTTCGTGTACTGATCGTGCAGGGTGAGTGTCAGTGAATGATAATCCCAAATAATCAACGACATCCTTGATTTTTCCCTGAGCAATGAGTGATCAATTGAATGAGAATGAGATAATTGCCACGTTGATAGAAAAATTTTTATCTCGGGGGATTGATCAGTGAAAAAAAATACGCATAAATATTGCTAACCTCCTTTGGAGAGGCTCATCATCATGTGTTGATAATTATTTCATCGTGTTTTGTTGCAGGTTGACACGATGGGTGCGTACAAGTACATGCAAGAGTTGTACCGCAAAAAGCAGAGCGATGTGCTTCGTTTTTTGCTTCGAGTCAGGTGCTGGCAGTATCGCCAGCTGACGAAACTCCATCGGGCACCCCGGCCCTCACGTCCTGACAAGGCACGTCGTTTAGGGTACAAAGCTAAACAAGGTACAAATAATATCTCAATTTCATCATCAATCGCATGATGATTCGTACATGCACCACTCTTAGTTCTGCTCTGAAGATCATGTACGTCTGACGATTGTCCCACAATTTTTCCAAGTTATTCCACTCAATCTTATCACTTCAGGATTTAATCACAGGATTAAATGATGATTTGTACATGCACCACTCTTAGTTTTCTGTGAAGATTATGTACGTCTGATGATGATCCAGGGATTAGTTCAGTTTGTTTATATCAGGATGTGACTTGTTTCATTGAGTGACACTATTTGTTGTAGGTTTTGTTATATTCAGAATTCGTGTACGTCGTGGTGGACGCAAACGTCCTGTTCCCAAGGGTGCAACCTACGGTAAACCCAAGAGCCATGGTGTCAACCAACTGAAACCCACCAGGAAGCTCCAATCCGTGGCTGAGGTAATTAATCCTTCCCTCGAATTGTTGAGTTATTTGTTTGAACTACTGAATGATGATAACATTTTTAGCAAAGAAAATTCATGATTGCATTTGCTTCCTTGGATGTCTGAATTTTATTTAACCTCCAAATACGAGAATTCAGGGTTTTTTAATCGTGAGAGTAATTGGAGGTGATTTGATATTTTAGGAACGCGTTGGCAGACGCTGCGGTGGCCTGAGAGTCCTCAACAGCTACTGGGTAGCCCAGGACTCGTCCTACAAATACTTCGAGGTCATCCTCGTCGATCCTGCCCACAAGGTCAGACTTTTATTCATGAAAATCATGAATGTAATGGCGAATTTATAATATAAATTATACAAGTGGAGGAATAATTTTTTACTTTTGGCTTTCAGGCTATTCGCAATGATCCCAAAGTAAACTGGATTTGTAATGCTGTACACAAACACCGTGAGCTACGTGGTAAAACTTCATCAGGTAGAAGCTCTCGAGGATTGGGCAAGGGTCACCGTTTCTCACAGACAATTGGTGGCTCACGCAAAGCTGCGTGGCTCAGGAGGAATTCTCTGTCACTCCGAAGAAAACGATAAAAAGTTATCAATCGCTTGTCATAAAACAAAAATAAAAATCGTTTTTCTAAACGCCAATTGCCATCCACTTATTTAAAAAAATATCAAACTCTATCAATCACGAGGTAACGATATTTTTATTGATATACAAAATATATTTACGATCTAAACTACAATTATTTCATACATTTACACACATGGAGTACATACACGTGACATCACACAAAGCAGTAATGATTAATTAAATAACATTCGAGTGAAGTTATCGAGATTCGATAAATGCATTTTATTTCAATTTTTGGGGTATTAGCGTTAATTGTATGGGACTGTTTTGGGCCAGATGCCTAATACGTAGGACTCGATTTCACACTCGTTTCTCCCCTTTTGGAGTTTGAAGAAACCGTTTTCCCCCCAGTCTGAGCCCCAGGAGTTGGCGGCGATCTGAAATTGAGAATATTTCAAAAGTCCGTCGAATACAGAAAACAGAAAGTATTCGGGAAGTAATAAAATTTTTAATATCTCATATTTACCCAATACTTCGTCGGTGGACTATTTCCGTACAGCTCCTCCCCCCACCCCACTATCCTCACCGAATGATAACCTGTCGGGTAATTCTCAACGACTCTCGAGTGCTTGTAAATTCCCCGTTGATAGGTGAAGAAGTCTTGGTAGACTTTCATGGTAGCTATTGAAGAATTATAATTAAAATTCAACTGAGAGCTTTAGACTATTGATCATTGATTACCCTGCACTGGTCCTGATATGAGAATCTCCTGCATTATATCCGTCTCGTTCCCGAGACGATACGCCGGTCCAACTTTGTACAATTCCGTCCTGAAGGGATTTGGCGAGCGGTTGCAACCCGCACCGCGAAGATCTGTTCGTTTTCGTATTCTGCATTTGTCGTTCATCCCGGACCATGAGTAGCAGTCTTCATCGACTACACTAAAAAGTCATTAAAAGAATATTTAAAAAATAAATCCAGTTAATTTATAGATTAGGATCAATTGGTACCCGAATTTTCTCATGAAGAGCCAGGCACGGTCCAGGTATCCACCCCTGCAGCCCTGCTGTCCTCTGTTGTTGCAGGAAATCAGGTGCTGGGGACTGAGATTGACTGCCTCGGCTCCTTTGCTCATCAGTGCAAATCTGTCGGATGCAACTTGAGCCGTGGAGATGGCCCAGGAGGATCCACACCATCCCTGCTCCTTTATACCGGATATATCCCTCGGCCATTTCAATCTCGCGTCGAATTCTCGTGGCAGTGCATCGGGGTTGTAATGTCTTTTCACTGGATTCATTCGATACATCTGTGGAAAATATCTATTTATTTTCTCTTCCATTATTGAAGAACACCACTTACGGATTTCCCTGGATTCAGCGTTCCCAGTCTCAATTCAATTCCGTCGGTCAGAGTTCGTCCCCAGAACTTGGAATAATTTCCTGGTGTCCAGGACATGTCCCACTGAGACTCCAACTCCCTCAGCAAGTCCGTGTCCATCAGGCACCTCTTTTCGTCGCAGCGAATTTTCGCGAATTGCCCTAATGATGAACACTTGCTGGAATAAATGATTTATTAATTTTTTTAGTTAGTTCTCGCGGGGAAGAGGGAGAAATTGACGCACCAGATGTTGCAGTTGGATAGGAACGTCTCTCCGTGCTTGTAGTATTTTCCCTCGTGGAAACATTCTGAAATATCGTAATCAGGGAAATTATATTGCCCGATCTCTGGTGACTTGAGTGTCCAACTCACGTCTTATGTTTCCACCGAAGAGTGGATCTTCTGTGGGGAGTGTAATTAATTTACAGTGCGACCAGTAATCTGGACAGCAGTCCTCTTCCCTCGTTCTGTTGCAGAAATCATCGCAGTAGCAGGTGGTGCTGAGGATGGGCGCACCACAGTCATCTTGTCGTCCTGGACAGCATCTTCCAGTGTCAAATCGTCCAGCGCAGTAAGGACCCGGAGGCAATCCTGAATAATCAGGTATTGCGTGTGCTATTGCCAGCGACAGGAGGACAAGAAGACTTGCTCTGACTGTCGAACAAGTTCCTCTCGAAATTCTACGAAAAAGTTCAGTATATAATGCATAAAGCATTATTCTACTAAAAGCGGAAATTATGTTAAATTATTTATGAGTCTAGGTAGTAGACTGGAACCAGTGCAATCGTCCATCAATGTCTCTATTTGAAAATATCTTTTACGCAACACGAAGCACCGGTTTACTTTATTCAGGGCTTATTAATAGATCGATTATTTTTATATTTTCTCTGCACGGATTGTCATTGCGATTGTGCAAAGGTGAAGTAAATAATAATTTATTGTTCACTTTGTTCAAGTGCACGGTTTATTTCCTAAAGGAATTATTCTCAACGATTCGACGATTTCCCTGAATTTTCCAGAAGAAATGGCAACAATTAGATTAAACCAATACTGATAAGAATCGATACAAAAATAAATAATGAATTCTCAATCAATAAAAATTAAACAGAAATAAAAATAGTTAATTAATTAGTATGTCCTCTAGTAATATTGGTATGGAGAAATCGGATTACTGAATGAACCGTCAATTGATAAATTGATATTACTCAGTACCTAGTATCACTGAATGAATACTTTGAGGCGAAATGAATGGAAAACATAAACACAGATATTGGGAAATTGAGAAAAATATATTAGCCATCTATCTCGGTTCGATAAATGAATCAGCGCAACAGCTGATGGCATTGTAGTGACTACTGATTCGATAAATGATTGCATAGCAATCCGTTGACAGTGTAAATTGTCGACGTAATCACATTGAATGGAGCGACGTCATCGACGGATTGGAATAAACGATCGATCGAAGAAACAGATCGTTAACCAGAGAAATTTTCTGAGTGTAATTTAGATGACGTGAATAATCTCCACGATAAATTCCCAAGGATAATATTGTTAGATTCATCATCTTCACCCTCGACGTTGAGAATTAATGAATGATTTAATTATAGCGTCAAATAAAGCACCATGACACCGATTCATAACTGACAGGCCTAATTGGAGCAAATAATTTGTTGTGTGGTAAAGTACTGAAGACTTCAGTACCTTTTGCCACTTGGGCTTCTCCCAGGAAGAGACGTGTGCAGATGAAAACCGAGATAACAATTTAAAAAATAATTATAAAAAAAATGATGAATAAAAATTGCTGAACCCGTGACTCATAAAGTACTTTGCGGCTAGAGCTTCTTCATCTTGATAGTAAACGTTCTATTTCACGGGACATCCGCGTTAGTCTGGCTTTTCTCCTCTTTTTCTCGGCTTTTTCTCTCTCAATCTTCCGCAGTTCTGACCACAGGGTGAAATACCATTGAATCTTTATTTCATGCCAATGCCTTGAAGCATGGGATTAAGTCACCGAGTAAAATGCAAAGATGACGACTTTGGATTTGCCAATGACACGCTCAGACGATCTCCACAACCGCGTCCTGCTTTCATTTTTTCAACTCAGATATTTGGATTGAATTGTAATTGATTCAGCATGACGCTATGTAAATATTAACGCTTGCAATCTCTTGGGAATTTTTCATGCTGATAAGGGGAATGGGTGTTACGTGTTTGAGTGATGACGTTTATTTGCTGAATTGAAATTCCTGGGGAATTCGTTGGTATTGGGTTTGGTATTATTTGGTTAATTGGATTATTCATTCATCTGACATTTACGCATCTTCGGGGCGGTGGTGAGAGGCACCAGGAGTGAACAGCCTTGATCTTTGTGATGAATTTATTTAATGGAATTTTTTACAGCGAAAAATTTATAGTTTTAAATAATGATGTTGTGATGTATTTATGATTACTATCTACTCAGGAATTTCGCTTGATATATAAAACTCGAGTTATCACTCTCGCGTTACGAGATAAAAGTGGAAAAACCTCGGGGAGCCGCGGTGGTACCTCGGCCAGTCAGAATCTTCGGATTATTTAATTTTCCGAGTCCTGTCTTCTAACAGTTCTCCAATGATTCTCCTGTCATTCTCCAAAAATCCGACATTCATTTCTCATCCAGAATTACCGATTATTTATTATTTGCGGATTTATTACGGACCAATTGCGGATTCATTGCCGATTCACTGCCCATTCATCGCGGATTAAGAGCGCATTAATCACGGATTAAGAGCGGATTAATCACGGATTAATTACGGATTGATCACGGATTAATTGTGGTGGATAGATTTTTTTTTTTGATGACCAATGAGTTTGGGTAGAGTTATACATATACGTTATAAGACTAGCTGTACTTACGTGAGTTGAATGTTTCTCATTTTAAGAAAAAATGCACAATGAGTGCAGGTATCAATCTTCTTATCAGGTGCACTAGGGGTTTAACGACACTCTTTGGAGAATTGAGTTGGTCTGAATTGTGGGAAAATTTGAATTGTTCCCCTGTTGGACAGCAAGTGGTTCGCGACTCGAAAGCACAAGTCGCACTGACCCCCCAGCTGTACACGAGGTAAAGTCAACGTTGAAATAAGCCTCGACTATCACAATTCGGTTTAAAGCAACTCTCCAACGTCACGCCTTTTTATTCTCGCGCACTGCATTACGAGAGTTACAATTATAAACTCAATCAATTCCGGGGAGATATGACCCCCCCCCCCCCCTCCCCCCGAATCAATCAATTCGAAATACTCCTGGAAAATTCAGCTAGTGCAGAACTCCATTTGTCAGCTAGAGAAATTCTTCAACACCCAAATAAAACTTTTTCTTTAAAAAAAAGTGTTAACCACATATTTTCTGTTAATTAAAAAAATTGTACATATACATGATATATATTTTATACACATATTTTATATTCCATATATATAACTTTCTTTGATTTTAAGAAATGTGAATAAATAATTACAATCTGCAATCCAGACACAAATTTTTGCCTTTTGAAAAAATTGTTAATTACATATTTATTCCGTAAAAAATTTATATAGATGAAATGTACTTTATGCACATATATTTCATTGCATATATATAACATATATAACTTTTTTGGTTTTGATAATTTTTAATCAATAATTTTTTTAGTGTTTTATATAAGAGGTAAAAAATTATTGTTTATTAGCGCAACGCGATGCATTATTTATATACTTTTTATTATAGTGTGAAATATATGATGACTATACTGAATATATTGTTGAACATTTTTTTTTATCGAAAACATTTTTTTGCAGTTGCAGCTTCAAGGGGACGTTTCCTAATAGTTAATTAACTTGAGGATTATTAGCGCTATTTCCCCGTGATTTACGACTGACACTAGATTTTTTTACGATTCAAGGAGGCACTTTACCACAAATAGGGGGAACACTTAAAATTTTTTCTAGTATCGTTGCCATATTTTTGAGGCGTGAGATAATTTTTTTTTGGATTTAGTTGTGCGATTTGAATTGAGCGTTAATAATTTTTTTTCGTTGTGAATAATTTTGAGTAGATGGCTATTTGCATGGGGAATGAAGTGTTTGTGGTTGAAATATTCATCATAGACCCATTCTTCCCAATTTTACCCAATTGAATCCATCATGACTCCAGTCAATTGCTTGACGGGTTCAGCAAAAATACTGAGATCAAATATTCTCATTAATTTTTTTAGATTTTTCCGGAGGGAATTGCGAGTCTCGTATAAACTCGACTAAACACTAAATTTTTCATTTCTTTTATTTAATATCCACCAGTGGATCCATAAGAATTTGATTACACTGCTGAAGGGATCGGGTAGCACTTCCTGGTCATTTAGCTATTATTATGATTTCATTGTTCTCCAACAATGCCAATTCTTGAATCATTATAATTAGAAAACATTGATGCACGTGGAGAGAATTTAAGTGCCCGTGAATTCCCTGAGCCGTTCAAACTCAAAATATCACGTCGTAAACCGATTTTTATATATTTTTTTTCGGTTCTCGTGACCTTCGGGGTCGCGGTCGCGTCCCAAAATTGCTCAAAATGAAATTTGGGGCAGCGCATACTTTTAATGTCGCACTGTCTATTTTCAGGTCATACCCAAGTGCATTCTTTTTGCTCTACAATTTTAACTCTCGCATGAGATTTCAAAGGCTCTCGGAGTCCAAATTGCGCAGCTTCTGCGATTAATTGAATCGAATCATCCCGATGGAGAAAAAAATGACGAGAAATTTGTCGAGAGAATTTCCTCAGGGCATCAGGTCGCTGCAGTGATAACCACGTGGTGAAGTCATTGTATGATCGATAAGTCTGTAGCAACTGCGAATACGGAAACACCGAGAGTTGAGAAATTGTTTTTAAAAAATTGGATAATGGGAAATACTGAGAGCAATGTCACAAGTGGAGTAAAAAAACAGACAGACACTTCCTCCATATTATTGTACAAATTAGTCGACTTGAAAGGTAAAGAATATTCCCTCAGCCTTTTGTGGAGTACAAAAAGTACAAAAATAGAAAAAGTCTTATTGTGATGCAAAAATCGTCTGGTGCGATTTCTTGCACATAACTCTAGTTTTGGAAATAAATAGCAATTGAGTGACGAAAATACATCATCTTGGTCTCAATTCTCAAGCATTTAATGGACTGAATACTCGGATTTTTCGTTAAATGTATTTTTTCCCCACCAGCTGGATCGTCTATTATTACATCTTTTTATATCCCTGACTTTTGAAATTTCGTAGGTGGTGGACTGCTGGTTGACATGATGAAGAGGGCAACGCAAACAAAACAGTATGCAGAACTGGATCATGCGATAAGGACCAAGGTCGAGCCTTTTCTGTACAATAAAGGAAAGGGCAAGTGGATTCCAATTTCCAAGCTAGTCCTCCTCAGAAATAAAGAGCGACCGCGACATAAAATGGTGAATGACAATAGCCATTTGTCTCCTGCGAAAATACCCAATGTTTATTTTCCCCGATTTTTTGCAGCTCCCGGTGCTAAAGGCAATGGAAAACCCCGCGGACTACGACGTGGACGTGGACATGAAGGACGACATCATCGACGAGACTAAAATCGGTAAAATTACACTCGATGATGTTCACACTCTTATCCACCTCTTGACATGATTTTTCGTTTTATTTTGGAGATAAGAGCAAATACAGACTGATCTGCTGGAATTTGAGTGATCGTGGAGCTGTTGGTGAGACGATTCTCCATCTGTGCATGCTCAACGCCACAGCACTCCATGCCGATCTGGCAAAACGACTATTACGCTTCTACCCAAATCTCATCAACGATATTTATCTCAGCGACGAATATTACGGTACCAATTAGCTCAGTCTTTAAATCAACTGATCATTCAGAATTATTCACTGCTCGCAGGTGAAAATGTTCTCCACATAGCGATCGTCAACGAGGATCCAGCGATGGTAAAATATCTATTGGACAGTGGTGCGGATGTTGATGAACGTTGTTTCGGTAATTTCATGTGTCCAGAGGATCAAAAGGCATCTAGAACAGACAGTCTCGATCATGAATGGCCTTGTGTCACGCCTGAAACCAATTACGACGGGTTAGAATCACTTTTTCAACTATCAACGAACGAACGAAGTACTCCAATAAAAATATGATTTATTGGATTTTTATGGGTTCTCTGAAGATACGTGTACTGGGGTGAATATCCGTTGAGTTTTGCTGCTTGTCTGGGTCAAGAGGAGTGCTACCGCCTGATGCTGGCCAGAGGTGCTGATCCAGACAAACAAGATACCAATGGCAACACTGTCCTGCACATGCTCGTCATCTACTCCAAATTGGTAATTCATTTATGCAATTTATCCAGTTTATACCGTTTTTTTTTGTCATTTGGTCTCCAATCGCTGCAGAATTCTCCTCTGAATTCGTGAAAATGATTCATACCTTATCTTTTTTATTTGAGAATACTTTCGATATGGCGTATGAGGTCGGCGCTTCCTTATCGATTCGCAACAATCAACACTTAACGCCTCTGACGCTTTCTGCTCGACTAGCAAGAATCGAAATGTTCTTTCACATTATGAATATCGAGAGGGAAATTTATTGGCAGATTGGGAGCATCACTTGCGCTGCCTATCCTCTCTCGCAGTTTGATACCATTGATGTCAATAATGGAACGATCAATAACAATTCAGCCCTGAATTTAGTGGTTTTTGGGGTAAATTGTTTATTAATTCATGGACAAATGGTGCTATGTTATGTGTAATTATCGGTTATTCCAGGAAACGGAGGAGCATCTGGAGTTGATGGACGGTGTCCTTGTGGATCTGTTGAATGCCAAGTGGAATACATTCATCAAATCGCGGTAATCAATGCCCGTGTACTGTCCCAATCCAATTTGTTGTTGTTGTTGTTTTTATTACAGATTTTATCGGCAATTTTTCCTCTTCTGTTTTTACTTCGTCTTATCTCTGATAAGCTTCGTACTTCGGCCGGGACCGTCTTCAACCGATTCATCTACCAATTCTACAAGACCCACTTCGAGTTCTGATATCACTACCTCGAGTGGAGGACTTTCCGCAACTTTAATGACTACCCATGTTTCCAAGAATCAGGGATTAGGTCAGCTGTCCCGAGTTATACGACAAGTAGCAATCACTCTGGCCACTAATTTCTTCACCAACAATGCAACACCAGCGAGTGTCGAGAGTTTTATCTCAAGAATTTCGGATAACATCACGATGTCGTTGAAGGAGGTCTTGAATTCAGATTATGATAAGTCTCTTCTAGACGAGAGTCTGGTGGAACTCGACGGGAGAAGAAATGAGAGTGTCTACGAGCAGGTGACACCCTCAGCTTTTATCATGGATGCTGCTCTCAATGAGGAGTGGTACGTCCCGAGGAAGACTTACAAAAATAACAGCAGAGGCACTTTATTTTATTTAAATCGTCCAGGTGGGAGGACTTGACGGAAGTTTGCAGACTGATGCAGCTGGACTCGTCAACCGCAAAAATAAGACTGACGGCGGAGGTTTTCATGGAGCTCGGGGCAATGCTTTACATCCTGGCAGCTCTCCGGGAGGCGAGATTCCTAGGGCTCAACATGTTCATCGAGAACCTCGTGAGCTCCAACGAAATTCATCCCTCGATTCGTCCCTCAATAAATTCAGGAATTAATCAACGTTTCAGATGACAGCACCATCCCGTGTCATGTTCCTCTTCTCCTGCTGCATCCTCATGTCATTTCCCTTTCTGCGTCTTGCCTGTGCAGACAAAGTCGAGGACATGCTGGCAGTTGTCGTCATGCTGACAACAGCCCCATACTTTCTGTTCTTCTGTCGGGGATTCAAAACTGTTGGGCCTTTCGTCGTTATGATTTACCGGATGATCATGGGAGATCTTCTCCGATTTGTCACGATTTATCTGGTGTTCGTCATGGGATTCTCTCAAGGTGAGGCTCCAGGCATGCCTTCAGGAAGGAACTTCTCAATCTTTAAGTACCGCATCATCTTTGCAACAGTCTAAACACCAATTCCACAAATATTTTTGCTACGGAGAGAGATAAAAATAGCGCATTCCACTGGAGTCCGTTGTGAATTTATAAGAGATGAGAATTATGTAGTCGTTAAAATTTTCGATTGAATATCAATAGCTCGTGTCATTCCAATGATATCATCGCCCCATTTATTACTCCGCGCTGACAACTTATGTAGATCATTCGACATTGACATAATTTTCATGTTTTCCAAGTGACAATGTTTTTTATTAATTCACGGATTTTATTGAACCGTGGGCTTTCGTCGCAGATGCACTTGAAAATTATCACTGAATTCACGACGCGATTCATGCATCATCCCAGAGTGATTGATCAATGTCGCGGACTTTACTTATATTACTGCATCGTGATTCATCGCCAAGGCACTGTGCCATTGACTTCATACTTGAGCAACATGCCACAATGGCACGTGCTGAAGGAGATAATCGGTGACATAAATATAGGATCATGAGTTATTATTGGAATCGTTTGACGGGGTAATTATGTCATTAGGGATATTTTATTGTATCCTCTGGAGGCAACAGCTGTGGTCAATTGCCAGTTTAATATTCTCCGGAATATCGAATATCAGAATGGAATTTTTTTATCATCTTGCAGCTGGGGTCAGGGGTCAGATGCGGGGAAGAATTCTTTAGGAAAATTATGGTGGAAAAATCGGTTGGCTTTTAACAAAATTAGTTTTCTTTATATCTAAACATATTATTTTTAATAAAAAAATATATATATCGATGCATATATACACTATTTCATTCTATAATGCAAGTACATAACTAATACATTGCGTTTAGTTGATGAAATTGAAATTGAAATAAATATAAATGTATAATTTTCTTTAAGGCCCGGATGGACTGTCTGGAAAAGATAATGTACTCCAAAATTGGGACTTCTAATTACTCCGTCAATTAATCGTTTTTTCCGATGATTATTAAGTAGCGGCCTAGTTGTTGACAACCGCTAGAACGCTAGCTAACAATTATTGAAAAAAACGATTAATTGCCAAAGTAATTAGGAATCCGAATTTCGGAGTAAATGATCTTTTCTAGATGATCCACCCGAGCCTTAACTAAACTCAATGTACGAGTTATGTATTTTCATTGAAGAATGGAAACGCATATAATATGCATATATAGTCAATATTGAGAATATTGTTATAGATTTTGAAATTATAGAAATTAATTGTTCGAAGGAAATGGTTTTCACACGTAATGTTCTCCGATTTAATGAGCTAATTCCTCTGTTGTAGCCTACTATATAATTTTCCTATCCTTCGACAATCCCCAAACCCCCGAGGGAGTAGACGACACGACGAGCAATCCCATGCCATCACCAATGGAGAGTATAATGGCGATGTTTCTGATGAGTATGACGAATTTCGGTGACTACTACGGGGCATTCGAGAGAACCGATCACGAGATGGAGGCCAAGGTTCATTAAGACGTTGCGATTCAATTAAGATAAAGCTCTAATTTATTCAATTGCAGTGTCTCTTCGTGGTGTACATGGCTATTGTAGCTATACTCCTGGTTAATATGTTGATCGCCATGATGGGAAATACCTATCAGAAAATCGCAGAGACTCGGAATGAGTGGCAGCGACAAGTGAGTTGATTTTTTATTTCTTCATTCAGGGAGAAATGGCCTGTTATCCATTGATTATTCATGGAATGAATTTATCAGTGGGCGAGGATCGTTCTTGTCGTGGAGAGAGGTGTTGCTCCAGCAGAGAGACTCAAGAAACTCATGGATTATTCACAGCCCATGTCTGATGGTCGCAGGGCACTTGTGCTTCGATTACATCAATCTGTAATTTCATTACTCCAATCTCCATAGACATTAGATAATATCAATTATATTCCAGGAGGAGGACAAAGAGGACATGAAGGAGATTCTGGAGATGAAACGAACGCACGAGAGACTCTACAAAAAACGAATGGCCAGAGTGAAGAAAGAGCGCGAACATATCATCATCGAGAGTGTTAAATGAATATTTATCGTCAATTACATTCTGTAACCAAAATTGTTATCGATAAATAAACAATCTTTTCTAAGTGATGACTCCATTGAAGAATTATTGATTCCTCTTCTCTATTTTCGTTGCCGTAGCAACAAACAAGTGCACACCCGTTGAGAAGAATTTCAATTAGTCACAAATGAGTTTCTTGAAGCGAAAAATTAATTTCAAAGACCTGGAGGAAGAGCTCCAGAGTGCAGTAAAGGCCGATGATCTCTATAAATTGCAGAATGATGCCAAATTGAGAGCTGTTGAGCAGAATGTACCGAATTACGAGCAATTCAGACAAATGGTATGGAATTTTTTGAATTTCCTTCCACCATGAATTACCAATTTTGTTTTTCTATCCCTAATAGGTGAAAGCTGCGCATTTGAAGCCGATGGATAGAAAGAAGAATGTTAAAGATTCGTCGTGGCAGCTGAAGGATTTCGAGGGCAGAACTGACGAGAAATACGAGAAATAGCGAAATACGCGGAATAAATCAGAGTAAAATACTGAATAAATGCAAATAATGCGATTGAAGAAACAAATTCAAAGTGATTGATGAATGATTATTGCAGTTAATTATTAATTACTTACAATTGTGCAGGAACATCGGGTTTTCGTTGAACTTCCCCTCTGGATGATTATCAATCACGTGGATTAATTGATGATTTTAACACATACCGGCAATTGAATTTCACTTGCACAAAACTCCACGAAAGTCGAACTTGAGGGCGCAAGCTATCGGCTGGCCATTCCTAGAGTGACGTCACATTTCATACCGTCAACACATGTATATAACACTCGTCTCTTGTTTATCTTAGTTCACCGATAGTTAATCACTTTTAATTCACCGGTTTGCAATTAAGTTCACTATCATCATTATTATCACTGTCCATCATTATTAATAAAGAAGAAATTATTGAGATCATTAACGAACGAGTTGCTTCCAGTGCATAACGAAGAGACTCGTGCTATTTCGTTGATACGTCTTGCATAATTAATTCTTGAACAATTGAACAATTGGAGTGTCTCAGACACATCTGTGGGTGGAATCCTTGTGAATTGAGAAACTGGGATCATCTTGGTGTCAACATTTTGGAGCAGTGGAGCAGTGGCGTCTCTGGAGATGTGCTCTAATAGCTGATGATGTTCTGAATGTTCGGTTTTTTCACTTGGTTAATGGATTATTGGATTCATCTCTGAGGAATGTGAACGGTTCATCTTGGAATTGTGGAAAGAATGAGGTTAGAGGAGATGCCACTGCGACTCAGCTCGGATGATCACAATTTTGAAATGGACGAGGAGACCGACTACCTTCTGCAGCCCTCCGACGAGAATCTCCGACCTATTATCAAGAGAAATAGGAGAATTAATGCTTGCACTGGTTTTTTAAAATATTTCCTCTGTGGGTGAGTGGCTCGACTCCTCCGAATTTTCGAGATCATCTCCTTGTCCTCAAAACTGTCTCCATCTCTTCCAATCTTTCATTTCTGCTCAATTGTTCACTGTAAATGATATATCAAATATGAGAACACCCGGAATACCTCGATATAATATTTAATTCGCCCGCGATTCGATGGTTCGGAGATTTAATTTTAATTTCCCGCGTTTTTTAACCTATCGCCACCTCGCGGGTTATTCAGTTGACGTAGCGATAATAATAATTGTGTATGCTGTCACACTTGCAGGAAAATCGTCAATAAAGAGCAATAAAGACTAGAGTAATCGCGAATAGTGGAAAGAATAGGTTTTAACGAATCGAGTGCTTTCGGAAAATTAACGTTCGTTCGTTGTTTTAACGGGAGGTATTGAGGGTCTGATTTTATTCGATCAATCAAAAGTAATGTGAGAGTACCATGGAAACACAAAGTGGTGTTTTGAGAATGTCAAAGGAGGATATTCCCCTGATATCGAAACCTAGGAGGGGTGTTTCCTGGATGAGGTAGAGATTGTCAATGAAAATTATTATCCAGATGTGGTTTTATTTCCTTTCAATTCAATATGAATATTTGGAGTAATTGAGTTGACTGCGCAGTTTTGTGTGTGTGTGTGCGTGTAGTGATTCATCAATAACGGATGATATCTCCCTCGATTATTGTAATTCGTATCGATTAACTATTTTTATATTCTTTACTTTTTTGCTACGCAGGTGTTGCAGCTGGATGTGGAGACGATGTTGCCGAGAGCGAGAGCTCAGGGCCAGAACGATTCACATCGGAAAACCGATGTGCGAAAAATTTCCCACGAATGTCATCAGGAATCAAAAATACAACATCATCACTTTTCTACCATTTGTTCTCTTTCAACAATTCAAATTCTTCCTCAACCTCTACTTCCTGATAATGGCTAGCTCACAGTTCATTCCGGAGATCAGGATTGGGTACTTGTACACCTACTGGGGACCACTTTGCTTCGTTCTGGCTGTGACAATCTGTCGTGAAGCAGTCGATGACTTTCGTCGGTACAAACGAGACAAGGAAGTCAATGGCCAGAAATACAATCGTCTTGTCAGAGGTTCAGACGTGCCGGAGTTGGTGCCCAGCTCTAAACTCAAGGTCGGTGACATGATAATTGTGGAGAAGGGACAGCGGGTTCCAGCGGACCTGGTGCTGCTACGGACGACTGAGAAATCGGGGGCTTGCTTCGTGAGAACCGATCAGCTCGATGGAGAGACTGATTGGAAGCTGCGACTCACCATACCAGCGACCCAGAAGTTGGAGAGCGATTCGGAATTGTTTGATATCAAGGCGAATCTGTACGTGGAGAAGCCTCAGAAGGACATCCACAGTTTCATAGGGACCTTCACGAGAGAGCACGGAGTGGAGTTCATTGAGGAGAGCCTAGGGGTGGACAACACTCTTTGGGCAAATACTGCTGTGGCATCTGGATCAGCTCTTGGTGTGATCGTGTACACGGGACAGGAGACGAGGTCCTTGATGAACCACTCAGCCCCTCGATCGAAAATTGGACTCTTGGATCGAGAAATTAATCAACTGACAAAAGTCCTCTTCGCTGCTGTCATTGGTCTCGCTCTCGTCATGATGTGCCTCAAGGGATTCAGTGGTCCCTGGTACAGATATATGTTCCGATTTATCCTCTTGTTCTCCTACATAATCCCCATAAGTCTTCGCATCAACCTTGATATGGGAAAAACGTTCTACGCGTGGTGCATACAGAGGGATAAGGAAATCAGTGGAACTGTCGTCAGGACCACTACAATACCCGAAGAATTGGGGCGAATCTCGTATTTATTGAGCGACAAAACAGGAACATTAACCCAAAATAAAATGGTCTTCAAGAAGCTGCATCTGGGAACGGCTTCCTATGGACAGGAGTCCTTTGACGAGATCTCTACTGTCTTGAAGAATTACTATCCAGGAGAGGGAGAGGGAAATGCCGAAGATAGGGAAGTGAAAAGGAAAAGAAATATTCAAAATACTCCGGGGATATCTGGAAAGGTCAGAAGGTCCGAGAGTACGAGGATCTACGAGGCTGTGCATGCCCTAGCTCTCTGTCACAATGTCACTCCTGTCTACGACGCCACTACAACTGCTGTCAATGATGACACTAGTGTCACCACTGTGGAAACTCTGGAGACGGGTTCAATTCAGAGTCAGACAGAGTCAGATCAGCATTTTTATAATTTCGAGCAGACGAGGAATTATCAGGCCTCTAGTCCCGATGAAGTTGCTCTGGTTAAATGGACAGAGGAAGTCGGTTTGACTCTCTTCCAGAGGGATTTGAATACCATTCAGTTGAAAGCTGTCAATGGAGAGCTCATGAGCTACACGATCCTTCAGATTTTTCCTTTTACGTCGGAAACCAAGAGGATGGGAATTATCGTTCGAGATGAGTCGACTAAAGACAGGGAGATAACGTTTTACCTGAAGGGAGCTGACGTCGTCATGTCGGGAATTGTTCAGTATAACGATTGGCTCGATGAGGAGTGTGGTAATATGGCCAGAGAGGGTCTTAGGACCCTAGTCGTCGCTAAGAAGAGTCTCACTGAGGAGCAGTACACGGATTTTGAGACCAAGTACCACGCTGCGAAGTGTGCAGTCAATGATAGGCCCTCCCGGGTGGCTGCTGTCATCGAAAGCCTGGAGAGGGAAATGGAGCTCCTCTGTGTCACCGGTGTTGAAGATAGATTGCAGGACAGGGTGAGACCCACCCTCGAGCTTCTGAGAAATGCTGGGATCAAGATATGGATGCTGACTGGGGATAAACTGGAGACTGCTACCTGCATTGCCAAGTCCTCCAGGCTCGTGTCGAGGACTCAAGGACTCCATATATTTAAGAATGTCGTTACGAGGACTGACGCACACCTGGAACTCAATACATTCAGAAAAAAACAGGACTGTGCTCTTGTCATTAGTGGAAACTCTTTGGACGTCTGTCTACAGTACTATCAAACAGAGTTCATGGAGCTGGCCTGTGGCTCCCCAGCTGTCGTGTGCTGTAGGTGCTCTCCAACTCAGAAAGCTGAGGTTGTGACTTTAATTAAGAGTCACACTGACAAGAGGACTGCTGCTGTTGGCGATGGGGGAAATGATGTTTCTATGATTCAGGCCGCTGATGCTGGCATTGGAATTGAGGGGCTGGAGGGACGACAGGCTTCGCTTGCTGCTGATTTCTCCATCTGTCAATTCAATCATCTTGCCAATCTCTTGCTTGTCCATGGCCGGAGGAGCTACAAGAGATCTGCAGCTCTCTCCCAATTCGTCATTCATAGGGGTCTTATAATTTCAACAATGCAAGCAGTTTTCTCTGCTGTTTTCTATCTGTCGTCTGTTGCACTTTATCAGGGATTCCTCATGGTTGGGTATGCCACGATCTACACTATGTTCCCAGTATTCTCTCTGGTACTGGATAAGGACGTGTCTAGGGGGGTCGCCATCAAGTATCCGGAGCTGTACAAGGACCTCAGCAAAGGCAGATCTCTGTCGTACAAGACATTCTTCATGTGGGTTCTCATCAGTATTTATCAGGGTGGTGTCATCATGTATGGAGCGCTCATCATGTTCGAGGATGAGTTTATTCATATCGTTGCCATCAGCTTCTCAGCTCTTGTTCTCACTGAATTGATCATGGTTGCTCTGACTATCAGGACTTGGCATCACATCATGGTTATCGCTGAACTTACTTCTCTCGCCCTTTATTTACTCTCACTATTCGTTCTCAAAGATTACTTCGATGCTGAATTCATCACCACTACTGACTTCTTCTGGAAGGTTCTTGTTATTACGTTGGTATCGTGCCTTCCTCTCTATGTACTCAAATTTCTGAGGAAGAAATTCTCACCCCCGAGTTACACTAAGTTGTCGTAATTTCGTTTATGTATATAACGATATGTAAATTATTTTTTATAGTCAAGTATGAATAAGTATTATGGAATTCAATCCAGGGAAATGAAATTTACAAAGGATGAGTGGAATTTGTTTTTGTTGAGACCCAGACTTTTACGAAAATTCCCTTTTTCTTAATTTTGTTGGATGAAGAAATGAGAAATGTTTGTAATTGGTGGAATAAATTATTCTCTGAGGAGTATAAATAAAATGTTAAAGAACAATTTAATAGCTCTTTTATTTATCTGGCGATTCTACCTTACTGTTACGTTCAGGAGTTTTGCTGCATTTCTAGATATTTCTGAGTGAATTTCTGTTACTTCCTTTTGCGTTAGGGTACGTTCCATGTGTCTATAAACTATTCTGTAACAGTGGGACGTTTTATTTGTCTTTGGATGAGTGAAATTGTCGATCAACGAGATTTGCTCGATGATGTCTCCGCCGATGTCGCGAGCCAAGTCATAAAAATCGTTGGGAGAGAACTCACTGTTCTCTGGTAACCAAAAGCTCAAGTCATTGGCGCACTGGGGGTAGACACTGATCGGCTAGAATAAAATACAAATTAAAATAAAACTCAAATTCACAATTACTCGATGTACACCTAGACCCAATAAATGCTCGAATTATTCAATCCATTAATTTTACCTTGTACGTCACCGGTGTGTTGGGATCATCGAATTTGAACTGATTCAAAAATCCCGAGTCACTACTGGAGAACAATCGAATGTCTGGAATTTTATAAAGACACATTGCAAGCCTCTCCAGCCCCAAACCGAATGCCCAGCCCATTCTATCGTTCACTCCACAATTTTTCAGAATCTCCTGTCTCATAATTCCACACCCCAGGACTTCCAGCCACTGATTATTGTAGAATACCTCCAGCTCCCAAGAGGGATGAGTAAACGGAAAGTACTGGTCTACCCAACGACATTTTACATCTTGGTAGAAAAACAAGTCTCTCATTAATCGATATCATTCATAAATTTCTCAGGAATACCTCAGAAATACCTTTTCCAAATAAAACTTGAGCCAGACCCACCAAATCCCTCTTGAGCTGGTGCTCCATTATTTTAGTAGCTTCTAAGCTATGAACTGCTTGTTTCTCTTTGCTCTCCTTTCCTCTGTTCTCGAACAACTCCAGTCCTTCGGGATCGTTGACACTGTCAAAGATCTCGTCATTGTTGCACAATCTGACGGCATCGACCTGGTGAAACACCGGATAATGAGTCGCGTCGATCTCGTCCCTCCTGTAGACGTCGCCAATCACCAGAAAATTGTTCAACCCCATGGAAATTAATTCAGACTGATGAGCTGTCATATGAGCCCTCAACAACGTATCCCTATTTACATAATAACAATCAGTCTTGCTCCTGCTTGGATGATCCCCTGGAATCAGCAGTGAGTCGAAATTCTGGTGAACAGACACCACCGGCTTCTGATTGTCGAAGACACTGAACAAGGGATTCCCACATTTATTTCTGTAATTACCGTAGAAATAATTGACGATTCTCTGTCGAACGTGGGACAATGGGTGGTACTTTGTTGTGTGAAGAGTTCGCCCCAATTTTTCGATTATTTTTGGAGTTACATTCGTCCATTCGTCGGTAACATATTTCTCCCCCAGGAGTTCCACGTCGTTCGGGGTTTTGTTCAAGTTTCTCGCAGTGCAGAATTCCTTCAATTTTATTGCCTCAGATTTTTTCAGGAGGCGAATTCTTCGGGACACAACTGCCAACATTTTTATCAATTTTGTATTCCCTTTTTCTCGGGTCAATTGTTGAAGTCGTTGAAATTCGGCGAGTAACACATGTTTATGAACTCACCGACATTGGCGCCACCACGTGATAAGTGTGAGCTACTTTTCACTAAGAAAAAAGTCATAAAAAATAAAACGATAATAATATCTATAGGTACGAGCGCAAGCGTAGACAAAATACGTAAATAGTCCTGTACTTCTCGTTTCAATAAGGAAAATCTTTGAAAATGTTGAGGATATCGTGTATTTAATCACCGTTGTTTGTGGTGAAGTGGAATAGGTCTTGGACGACTGCAGCAAGTGGTATTGATGCTTTGGGATTGACAGATGTCATCGGGAATCGAATATTATTGAGAATTTTGTCTGTTTTTGACGTGTAAGTCGCCTTGAGAAACTAGTTTGTCAATTCCCTACTTCATAATCAGAGAATGCTACGAGTTTTTTTTAATGCTCATAAATCGAATCAAAGCTCAATTTTTTGCCTCGGCAAAAAAATAGAAAATGAGTGGATCTTATGTTTAATGTGCAATTACGTTATATTCGATTTGTGGGTATTGCTGTCATTGAACATGACGAGTCATTTCTTTTATTGTCAATATTTTTTATCAGCAAGTCAGATAACCTTGTCTCCAAGAAATTCATCAGCAGTTCTCTGGCTCTTCCAGAGCTTTGGATTTTATCACGACCATCTGTCCTAATGAAAACGTCTAGATTTCCTCTTAACCTCAATTCTTCATTAAATTTGGAAGAATTAAAGTTGTTGGAGATCTAAGAATAATTTTCTACATCAATTTTTATGGAGTGACAGATTGTTTAATTTGGGTCTCTCATTTTTCCAATGAGAATCGTAAATTGGCGATGATTTTCAGAAATTCTTTTTCGTGTAATGATCTTTTTATTGATTACAGATTATAATTTGGAAGAATGACGTTAATCGAGGGAGTGGGTGACGAAGTGACAGATTTTTTCATTGTGGTGGCTGTTGTGGTAGTGGGATGGCTTGCCTGGTGCTCCACGAATATCTCAGAACAACCCTTAATTAGAACAGTCCTGATCCTCCAGCACAGGACACGAACAAGAATTGCTGAGTTGAGGGCCAATCATTCGACAGTAATCAGTGATACATTTACAACAAGAACGTCAAGTTTCGACGAATCTGCAGCTAACGAAGAGACCACTGAACCCATCAGTCAGTCCCACAACGAGACTGAACAGACGTGTTTGCAGGAAAATCAAAATGGTGAGCAACTCCTGATCCTTAATATTTAAAAATAATTATTTTACCCTTCGCAGTTCCTCAGACATCAGAGACATCGACTCCCCCAGGTGCAGCAGCTTCAGAGGAGGCCCTCATCCAAGCCATGGACTCAGGCACGGACGAGTCGGAATTAGCAGAGCAAAAGCTGGAGGAGACGGAAAAACAGGAGACTGACGCTAATATCCCAGAGGCGACAACTTGCGTCTCCTCTCGTCCTTCTGAGGCTTCTGTGGATTCTATTGACGGAGCATTGTTGACGGAAAGGGAAGAGATTGTTATCAAACTCAAATTCATTAATGATGACCAGAGGATTGTCAGTGGAAGGCCCAAGGAGACGCTTGAAGACTTTAAAAAGTATGTCTCCAGCTCGTTGTGGTGTTTTACTAGATAATCTTTATCGTATTTTTTTGCAGACGTCATTTCCAGGCAGAACTGGAAGCCCAGAAGCGGGTGAGACTTGTATTCAATGGTCACGTTCTCCAACCAGACACCGACACTCTCGAGCAATCTGGCCTTTATCACAATTGTGTCGTTCATTGTCTGGTGCATCAGCAACGTACTAATCCAGGGAATACGAATACTCATTCCTCGGTTGATTCATCATCCTCGATTTATTCGAATCCCCAGTCATTTCAGAATATGCCAACTGGCGGTAGTACCTCAGTGCACAACGAATGGGATCTCAGTAGATTACTTGTTGGTTTGATAACTCTCGTATTGATAATTGCTTGGTACTCGCGTTATTATTATGCTCAATTGTTCACTGCTGCTGCAACAATAGCATTATACGCGTTAACAGCTGTTTTTACTCTGTCAGTTGTAGGATATTTTTTCCCTGATCAAGACAGCCTGAGAAATATCGAGTAATTGTTGACTCTGAACCATTCTGTTTTTTTCTCATTTTCAGTTTCTCCTCTACTTTTTATTTATCACTCTCACTGTAACTTAATTATTTTCCCTTTGTTTCGTTGTAAAATATTTTTATACGTAGGAGTTATCTATTGGCTCGTTTATTCAGAATTTCATTGAGCATCTGATGTTGAATTTTACTGCAGTCGATGAACGAATTTAATTTGTAGAAACTAGTGGCGAAATTTTAGAGTGAGATAAATCGAATTCAATGTTTTTTGGCCACAATTTCACTGAGTAATTAGTGACTTTAATCATTAAGTCGTTTTAGATTAATTGGCCTCAGATTAATTTGGGAAAACTGAAAAATTCGAACTATCCCGCTTTGAAATTTCACTACGGAAATATTTAATACTGAATGGAATATCGAAGACAATGAAAATCGTGCTGAGAGTTGAGGGAATTGCCACTGTAAAATTACTGGAACGATATCGGACAATAATTGGTCAGAGTTTAAACACCACCCGAGAGACATGACACGGGGAACGAGATTTTGGATTCTGTAAGTGGGCGTACCTGTGTTAACAAAATAAACTAAGAAAATTATTAGTTAACCGTTTATTAGAATCCTTAATTTACAACAGCTCAATCAATTCTCGTCATAAATTAGAGGCAAATTAGAATTAAACTAATTCGACATTTGACGTGCCGTACATCAGTTCAACTTTTTTTTTCAAATCGTCAGGACTATTCACACCGAAGCCCTGAGGGTTTTCCAGGAGTACTGAGCAATTTTTATCGTCAACTTTTACATTGACAAATCGACAAAACGGTTTATGACTCCCTACGGAATTGTCTCCAGGAGTTTGTCCAGCTTTCACAACGAGTATTGTTTTGTTATTCAATTTTTGGCACTGAAAACCGTTCTCCAGCTGTTTTCCCTCGAAGTAGATGTCGATGGATCTGCCGTAGAGGCCAAAAATTACCTCGATCTCACTTCTCAGCTGAGCGACCGAAATTTCACTGCCATCTTTACTTTCCAGGAAGACAGTGCCCTTCAAACTGCTGCCTCCATATCTCGGTTCAATGCCCTCCACCAGGATATTTACATACTTGTAGGCAGGACTCTCAGTTTCTCCTCCTTTCCTCACCAGCACCAGCTTCATCTCCACACCCTTGATCTTCTGCATTTCCTCAATGATAACATCACCAGGAGGCACCCCCACCATTTCCCTCTGCGGAGTCTTCGTAATCCCCTCGATGAAGTCTTTGTAATCCCCAATGACTTTGAAAAGTGAAGAACTCTTGTCAGATATCTCGTAGTAGACGTCAGCCTCGTCACTGGGTACCAGCTGTGCCTTCTTCCTGAGCTTCTGCACCCTGTTGATGATCTCCCTGGCAATTCCCTCGTGTTGCATACTCTCATCAGGAGTGATGTCCAGCAGAATCAAGACATTTCCCTCGCAAGTCGCCTCGTACTTCATCGATAATTGTTGAGCTGTTGGCCCAGAGAAACTGAACATGAGCCTGAGGTCCTCCTCTCCAAGCTCGTGATTATTAACAACAATTTTCTTTGTGACTAGAAACTCCTGGAGCTGAGCATCAGACAGATCCTTGATGGCTTGAATTATCGCCTTGAATTCTCCCTTAAGTCTGAACCCAAGGGTTTTGTGGTCAGGCTCTGCAGCCAATCTGATCCCATACTTCTGCTTGTCAGTGGTTACCGTCAATTCCTTAACGTTGAGCTCGTTCAGGATGTACGATTTCAGGGCGACGATCTCCTCGAGGATCTTCTCATCCTGGTGGATCACAACAACCTCTGGGAGAGGATATTTAACTGGAATTGTTTGTCTGTCTCTGGCGATTCTCCCAAGGTCGATGACAGCCTGCATATACGACACAGACCTCTCGATCTTTTCATCGATCAGATCGAGATTGGGCTCGGGTACCATCTGATAATGGACAGACTCTGACAACTCTGATTTAATCCCCTTTGGAAGGAGATGCAGAATCCTCTGGTACATGAATTCACTCAGGAAAGGAGTGAATGGTGCATTGATACGAATCATCGTGTAGATGACATAGAAGAGAGTGTTCAGAGCTCGCTTGCAGTCCTCAGGACCGTCATCTCCCTTGATCCGCCTTCTGTTCATCCTGACGTACCAATTTGTCAGGTTGTCGATGTATTTTATCAATTTCGGCACCACGGTGTACAGCCTGTAGGCCTTCATCTCCTGCTTCACGAATTCCAAGAGAGTCTGGGTGAAAGAGACAATCCACTTGTCCATTATATTCGAAGAGACGATATTCACATCGTTTTCGTTCTCGTTGTAAACAAATTTGGTCATCTCCTCGGTCTCGTATCTATCAATATTCTGCTGGAGGAATCTGAAGGCGTTATACCAGGGCAGAAAGACATCCTTGATGATGTTTCTGACTCCTTCCTCCTTGAACCTCAAATTCTCTGCTTTGACGACGGGTGAATTGATGAGGTACAGTCTCAGGGCATCAGCACCAAATCGGTTAACGATTTCCATAGGATCAGGATAATTTTTCTTGCTCTTGGACATTTTCTGGCCGTCAGAGGCTAGGACCAGACCATTGCAGACGAGATTCTTAAACGGAGGTTTGTTAAAAAGTGCTGTTGAGATTACGAGGAGAGTGTAGAACCATCCTCTTGTCTGGTCTATCCCCTCGGCGATGAAATCCGCAGGGAAAGTCGCCTCGAAGTCCTTCACTTTCTCGAAAGGATAATGCAGCTGTGCGTATGGCATGGAACCAGATTCGAACCAGCAGTCAAAGACCTCAGGGACTCTGCGAAGTGGTGGACATCCAGGTCTTCGCGATGGTATCGTCAGGTGATCGATGCTCTCTCTATGAATGTCAGATATTTTCTGGCCAGTGAGTTTTTCCAGTTCCTGGATGCTCCCCACACAGACAACTTCTTTTCTATCATCAGAGATCCACAGGGGTATGGGATTCCCCCAGTATCTGTTCCTGCTTATTGCCCAGTCTCTAGCATCTCTCAACCAATTTCCAAATCGTTTATCTTTGACGTAATCGGGTACCCAATACGTATCGGCACTGGAGTTCAATAATTTATCCCTGATGGACTCCACTCTGATAAACCAGGAGGGCACAGCTTTGTAGATCAGGGGCGTGTCTGATCTCCAGCAGTAGGGGTAACTGTGAGAGTGGCCAGCGTATTTTATGCACTTTCCAGACGCCATCAGGTTCTTCACAATCTCCTTATCTGCATCCTTCACGTATAAGCCCTTGAACTCTGTGACTTCAGGTGTAAATCTCCCTGTACTATCCACCGGACAAATGGGCTCTTGATCCCTGGTGATGATGCCAGCCTCGAGGCAACACCTGTAATCGTCCTCTCCGAAATAAGGCGCCTGGTGGACGAACCCAGTTCCAGTCTCTCCACTGACGTAATTGTCGTTTAGGACCCTGAAAGCGTTCTGCTTCACCCTCAGGTGCTCGAAGTAGGGGAAAGGGGGCTCGTAGCTCTTCCCCTTCAGCTCTGATCCCTTGATTTTCCCAAGAATTTCGTATAGGTCGTTCGACTTGTAGACCCTCTCCAGGGCGACCTCCAGGAGAATAAATATCTTCTTCGACGCCTTGTCTCTGACCTTGAGGTACTCGAAGCTGGCGTTGCAACAGAGAGCTAGATTACTGGGAAGTGTCCAGGGGGTCGTTGTCCACGCGACGATGCAGACGGTCTCGCCAGCTGGTCCCTTCTCATCCAGAAGAGGAAAGACGATAAACACTGAGGGGTCAATGACTTGTTTGTAATTCTGACCCGATTCGAAGTTGGATAGAGGAGTATTACAGCCCGTGGAGTAGGGCATGACCTTGACTCCCTGGTAGACGAGGCCCTTGTTGAAGAGTTCCTTGAAGACCCACCATATGGACTCCATGTACCAGGGGTACAGAGTCTTGTAGTCGTTCTTGAAGTCAATCCATCTGCCCACCCTTGTGATTATTTTCTCCCACTCCCCTGCGTACCTCATTACGATCTTCCTGCACTCTTTATTGTAGTTCTCGATGCCCATCTTCTGTACGTCATCCGGCCCCTTTATCCCCAGGGCTTTGTCAATCTCGAACTCAACTGGAAGGCCATGGGTGTCCCAACCAAATCGTCGCTCCACGTGGTATCCCTTCTGGTGAGCATACCTCGTAACGATGTCCTTGATGGTACCCGCAAGGATGTGGCCGTAATGAGGAAGACCCGTGGCAAATGGAGGCCCATCGAAGAAAGAATATCTCGGCTTACCTTTTGAGAGTTTCAGGCTCGTCTCGAATACTTTATTGTCCGTCCAAAATTTCAGGATCTTCTCCTCCTCCTCGGGGAAGTTTATCGTCTCCGGTAGCTTCTCCTGCATTTTTCAGATGCAGCTCTTCTAACTGCCGGTTGACAACTGGCTCCAGAAATTTAATGACACGAGGACTGGGTGATGCAAGAGATTTTAGGTTGTATTTTGAGGTATACTTTGAGGAATTCGCGCGGGTACTATAGCTGTCGGTGATTTTTCAAATGGATACTCTCCAAAATCATCATGGGAGTATGAAGCAGTTGCCAGAGGCCAGAGCCTCATAATAAGTTCATATTAAATTTCTGGAAATTTAAGATAATTTATTATATATAATTCGACTGCAAAAACATTCTGGAGGTTTATTGGCGGGAGTTTCAAACCCACACCCCGCCATTTTGAAGTCGTTTGGGAATTGGCTTGATATTTTATCTTCTTCACGTCACACGGACGTAACACAACGACGAGTGACACGAATGGGACACAATGAGGATCATTTAACAGTCTTCTGGCTCCTCGGACGCCTTCAACAGGGTCTTGTTAATAATTCGACGAACAGTGGATCAAGTGATAAAAGTGAGGTGCTCCTGATGATGACCTTCTGAGGACGAACCTAGCAACTTGGTCATTGACAGCACTCGAGGATATCCCAACTCGCCCGGTCTTTTTTATTTTTTTTGCCAATCCTTGGGCCCCATAAAAGGTGTACACAAGTCCCGAAAGTATCTTGCGGATTCTCCAAATGGATCAAAAGTAAACCGGGAGGGGATTATGAGAGAATTTCGGGTTAAATCGGACGGATTGAGTCCCGAAAGGAGTTTGTGCGAGTGAGACAATGCAGTACCCTGAGAAATTTCAGGTGAAAGTTCGGTAAAAAAGGATTGGTTTCGTACTACTTGATCACCAAAAGTGGCAGGACCGTGGTAATTTAGGAATTAAAGAAAAAATAGTTCTTTTTGTGGAGTGATTTCTTCTGGGAGGAGGACATGGGCGTTCATCAATGATGTCCCTGAGGATTCCGAGAAATGTTTAAAATGCAACAGCCAGTGGCCTTCGTACATTTCTAGTTGTCGAGTGGATGGAATATGTCAGTCACATAAAAGTTGCACTGATTTCAAAACATTAGGTGAGTCTAATTAAAGGATTGCGGGTGGGAGGTGGGAGGGACGAGGCTGTAGCGTATTTCGAAAGAGAATCAGTGATTTCTCTGTGGTTTTCCATGTTTTTTTTTTCAAGGATTGATAAACTTGTCGGTCGTTCAAATTATGGATAATTACTAGACGCAGAAAAACCGCTGAATAAATCAGAAACAATTCATACTCTCTCAAGCTGTCCACCAGCCCCACACGATTATTTAATTTCCTGCTCAACCGCCTCTTGAAGTTAAACCAAACAGTTGATAATTCACTTGTCTTCATCGGTGTCTCTGAACCCCAACTTTTGCCCCTAGGTTTCATCCCGACAATTGAAAAATGGCAGAGGAAGAGGGGACCGAGTGGCTGCTGGAGCTTCTCCACGACGTCCAGCTTTCGCAGTTCTTCACCAGAATCCGGGATGATCTCCAGGTGACACGCCTCCACCACTTCGACTACGTGCAGCCCGAGGATCTGGAGAAGATCGGGCTGGGTAAGCCTGGGGTTAGAAGACTGATGGACGCCATGAAGAAGAAGAGGGCCTCCCAGAAGAAGAAAAATCTTATCACGAAAATCCGTCCAGGAGGTAGTGCAAAGAGCACTAAACGCTCGTCCCAGCCTCTGGAGGCACCTGTTTCAATACTCACTTGCTTAATTCAAGACAAAGACGTGACGTTGTCTATCAAATTGGGGGATGGGAGCTTTGGTGTTGTCAGGAGAGGCGAGTGGAATTCCCCAACAGGGAGAACCCTTCCAGTAGCTGTGAAGGTCTTGAAAGCCGACGCCCTGACGCAGCCCTCTGTGATAGAAGACTTTGTCTCTGAGGTACAGGCCATGCACACCCTTGATCATCATAATTTGATTCGTCTTTACGGAGTTGTTCTCTCCTCGCCCATGATGATGGTGACGGAGCTGGCACCTCTTGGTGCTCTTTTGGATTACCTCCGTAAACAATGTGGCCATATTTCAGTGCTGACTCTCTGTGACTACGCCCTTCAGGTCGCCACAGGAATGGCGTATTTAGAATCAAAGAGATTCCTCCACAGAGATCTTGCCTGCAGGAATGTCCTCCTCTCGTCAGTTGATAAAATTAAAATCGGGGATTTTGGGTTGATGAGGGCTCTACCACAGCAGGAGGATTGCTACGTTATGACAGAACACAAGAAAGTACCATTTCCCTGGTGTGCACCAGAATCTCTCAAATCCAGGCAATTTTCTCATGCCTCTGACGTGTGGATGTTTGGGGTGACTCTCTGGGAGATGCTGACGTTCGGGGAGGAGCCCTGGGTGGGTCTCAATGGCTCAGAGATCCTCAGGAAAATCGATCGAGAAGGGGAGAGACTTTACGAGCCTGAGGCCAGTCCTCCAGCCATGTTTCAGATGATGCTCAAGTGTTGGGCGAAAAATCCTCCTGACAGGCCCACATTTGCGTCGTTGAAGGAGTCGTTGACGTCAACGGTTCCCAGTATTATGAAGGCACTCAACAAATTCGAGGAAACTGACAAAATGACGATAGAGCATGGGGATCAAATTGTTATTATCGATGGGAGACCCGAGAACTACTGGTGGAAGGGGCAGAATCAGAGGACTTTTCAAGTTGGACATTTCCCCAGGTGTCTTGTCGATCCCATGAGAAGAAAGCAGCCCGAGGACATCAGTAAACCCCTGGAGAACTCATTCATACATACTGGGCATGGAGTCCCCTTCGGAAAGAGTTGGGGAAGTCCTCAATTCATCGACGACGTTTACCTCAGGAATCCCATGGAACCTCCTGATGTTGTGGGTGTCACTCCAGCTGACAAGAGAAAATTCCCTGCGCAAAAATCGAAGAATCAGTTCAACTACAGGAAATTCCAGAATGATTTGAGATCTAGTCCTATTAAAACGAGTAACGTACAAAATCACGAGGGAAGTTTGATAGATCTGTCTCCAGAGGAAATTGCCAACGCAGTGAATCCTGACTCCGGATGTACAAGAGTCGTCAACATACTGGATGAGCCCATCGAGGCCTTCGGGGGAAGACCTGATGAGATTTGGCCTGACGAAGAAGCCGGGAATTACGCCAATTTTCCAGGAGGAAATCGAGTGCAAAACGATCCTTTTGACACCTCCAGGGTCTTCATGGGAACTCCAACGTCCCGGTATTACTCCCACGTACCTCAGGACACTATGAACCATTATCTGAAAACCCAGCAGTCGTACATGAACGTAGAGACCACTGAGGTGGCCTCAAGTACCCAAGGAAATCCAGAGGTTAATGGTACAAATGTGGATATCAATCAATACTCTTTGAACCTCAATAAGGATATCAGATCGGAAAACACAAATTTAAATATGAGTGAACGAGCAGAGGGGAATGGAAACTCTCAACACTACAGTGAGGTCGATAAAGTGTCCTCAGGAACTTCCAGTCAGGTGATTTGGCCTGAGGACTTATCTGAAGAACCACAGACTTACACTAATGTCACTGCCAGGCCAAATTTTCCAGTGGTCGCACCACCTCCACCGCCCATTGGCCCCAACGAGAGTCCCCCCAAGCCAAAATCCAACGTCGATATTGCTCAAAGCATGGGGGAACTGACCATCGACGTTAAACCCCAGAGTTCTCCAAAAAAACTCGACTCCGCTTTTCTGGCTGAATTAGAGAAGCACCTGGGGGCTAAAGAGGTCTGTAAAAACACGAATGAGGCACCTGGAGGTTACTCCACAGTTAATAAAGCCCAGGAGGGGACATCTGCAGGGATTCCCATGCTGAGACCTCCACCCCAGACCGCGAAATCACGATCTCCAAATGGAGAGTTAAGGGGTTCAACGAGTCTACCTTCCAAAGTCCAGAACTCGTGGCAGAGTAAAAATACGAATATCCAGAGGCCACAGAGTCAATTAATCCAATCGAGTCCTCAAAATCAAATGGTGGAGAGCAGTACTGAGACGATAATTGGACAAATGTGGCAGCAGGCACACTCACCAGATACTCACAATTTTTACTCCTCCACCTCGTCCCACAGTCTTCAAAATGACAGGAAACCCCAGCCTCCTATCTACGCCACATCTTCCGAAATTCATGATCCAAGAGTTCAGAATCTACAGCCCACAGTTCTGAGCATGTCACAGAGCGATCACAGCCATCTTCTTCTCCAGATAGCTCCAAATATAACAAGCAGTGGCACGAACACAGGGAATCATAATTATTTTCCACCTCAGCAGAACTACAATTTTCCTCCAGCCATTCAAGCATCAAATGCTGGGTCAGGACCTGGGGTAAATCACGTGCAGAATGATCTTCAGCCCACGAGAGTCGCCCCACCTAGGCCCAATGTTCCACCTGCTGGGATACTCTCTGAAAAAGTGTACGCAGAACTCCGAGAGAACGTGCCAAATCTCGATCAGTTGAGTCAGAGTGAATTCAATACTCTCTATAATAAAACTGTTCAGCAGAATATCCTCAGAAATAGTCAGGGGATGTCCAACGGCAGACAGAGCCAGACACTTCCCAGAAATTACTCCCAGGATCATCCCTTTGACTTCAGTCCAAGCTTGAAGCAACCTCCAGTTTATAATCCTCCGCCTGCCTGGAGTCCAATGAAAAGTGGACAGAATGGTTACTCTCAGGGGCAGAACCTCCAGAAGAGCATTAGCTCGCCTGGGCAGGCTGGAAGTCCAAATCTCATGCATTTTACACCGACGAGGCCAGCCCCTGGCCCCTCTGGTCCTTCATCTGGCCATTCAGGGGGGGCTGGAAGGTGTTTGCTGCCTCTGATGAATGAGACAGTCGTTAATACTCAATTGGGGACCTGTGCTGCTGCCTACCCTGGAGGGATCAGTCCTCCACTCACTGGAGCATCACAGCAGCTAGTCATGTCGTTGAACGATGAATTCAGGGCTAGTAAAATTATGAAGGTCCAGAAAGACGCTGGGGATGCCTCCCAGCAGGAGATTCTTGCTGCTCTCCAGGCCACTGGATGGGACACTAGCCAAGCTGCCAGACAGATAATCAAGGATAGACAGGCGAAAATTGATAGTCTCATAAGGTGATTTCCATATAAATAAAGTTAAATCATTTAGTATTTATCGATGGACATCTTATTGATATTTTGTCTTGATCAGGTTGGGACTGGCTAATAGACATCAGTGCGAAGGGGCTCTCAAACAAACGGAGTATGACGTAGAGCTGGCTGCCTCTCTTCTCCTCGACAGAGTCAGATAAAAGGAAAATATTCAATTTGAAATTCAAGTACACCATAAGACAATTAATGATAAATTAAAATAATCAAACTGATCATGACGATTCGAATCTGTTAGTTTTAATCAGATACACTGTGATATGTGCTACTAAAGGATCTAGATTTTACGAGTCCAGGTGGAACTTCCGGCTATTGGTCAGTCGCTCTTTAACTTTTAGCTGTAAATAAATCCCTTCGCGAGATTAGATTATGGAAGTGGGTGAAAAATTATAAAAGTGATTCAAATATTTTTGTGAAGTGTTGATGATTAGTGAATGTATTGGATAATGATCCAGTGATGAGAGATTTTTCAAACGGTAGAACAAATCTCACAGATCAAAAACTATTTTTGACTATTTTTTTTTCTGATATTAAAGCTGAGATTTTTCTAGACGAATTAAACTATTCTTTTCAGTCGTCAGAACAATGAGATATTATTTCACGTTCCCAGCTAATATTAATCTTTGCTTTATCGTTATGTTACATTTATTTTTACTTTTATTTAACGCTCGTTAAAAACGAAAGAAACGTGCGCAGTTGACACGACTATTTCTTTCCGATCTTCGTTCATTCTGAAAATATGTTCCTCTCTTTATTTTCGCCACCGAAAAATCACGCATAATAACGCCAACACTCCGATAATTTCGATATTCAAACTGATTATTGGGATTTGGACTTCATAATTTTAAGCTAACGTTTAATAACATTGTGATCTGAATATTAATGAGTGTTGCAACATGAAAATACATACGATAGAAGTAAAAGTCTCAATTTAATAAATTCCCGTTCCGGAATACCTTTCATCAGTCCAAAAACTAAAGAATTAATTAATTAAACTGAATAAAAGACCCGCGGTTTATTAAAAAACTAAATAGAGGTTTGGTTTTTTAAACTAGGTTTTTATTGAAACTTTGGCCAAGAGTCACTGGGGTTTACTTAGTATTTTATATTTTCCATATTTTATTATTTAGTATTTAACAATTTACTAGACAGTTGATTAATCCCTATAATTAATTGAGCGCTGGAAAGAACTATTTTTCGTTGTAAAAGGATGTAAAACGAAAGAAGCACAAGACTATCAGCAATTGATGTCTTGTCAGAGCGATTTGGAAAGGCAGTGGGGGTTTGAGGTGAGGAACACTTTATGGTTGTACTCACAGGTGTGTGAAACGACTCGACAGATTGCTCGAAGGCATCGAGCCGTTCGCAGAGAAAGCCGCGTATCTCCAAACAGTCCAAGTGTCAGTGATAATGTTCGTGCTGAAAATTTTCTGAGTGTGAAGATCACCTGGTGATAAATATGCCAGCGGCCTCATCGATTTATTGGGACTCGGTCGACTCCCAGAGATCATCTGGTAGCTCTGCTGATGCCGGGAGCAGTCGCCAGTACGTGGACCCCTGGGATCTGGAGAATTACGCGTACCTGAGGAGACACAGTGTATCATCATCACCGCAGATGTATCAGCCCCCCAGAACCACGTGCAGCCGATTTACCACCAGGAAAGCCGAACCAGAGCCGGAGTATTGGTAAACAATTGTTAAAATCTATATCCCTCGATTTTTACCTCATGGAATGAATTTTTTTCGAATAAAATAGGTACTCATCACGGGAACCCATCAGGGAACCTGGGTATCACGCCCCAGCATCCGTCGAGGAACTCTACTTCGGACCTCCTAGACAAACCCAGAGCTATTATCAACCTATTTACGAGGAGGAAAACCCTCGGTACGCTGCACCAGTTTATGCACCACTCTCCGGTGAGTTTTCTACATATAAAGATAATATAAAAGCTCAAAATATTATTTCATGTTACAAAAACAAATAGTACAAAAACAAAGTATCACAAAGTAATAATCACAATGACATAATGATAATAATAATACCAATAATAACAATAATAATAACTATTACTATTATTTCATTCGTAATATTTTTATTGGTAATATTATTATTGAATAAAATTTAGAGGGGCCACCAGTGAGTTCATCAACTCAACTATTCTCTCTGTTTTGATCACTCAAAAGCTTTTTTAAAATATAAATTCTCCGAAAGCGTACGTTAAACTAAAAATATCCAGGCAAAATTGATGTCTACAATTTTTTAATACAATAACTGATATACAAAATTTGTTATTCAACTCTTTTATGTACCTCTTTTTCACGAGGTAAATAAATAACAGCTATATAAGTCCCGTGAATCATCACCAATGGTGTCATGGTATTGGTATCAGTGTGATTGAAGAAAAGGGAACAATCGATCGTGGGATGAAGAGACTGTGTCCATCCCACGAATAAAAACTCCAAGGAATTTCCAACTTTCGTTGATTTCCTCTCGGTTTACGGTGCGATAAAAATTGAGAAAAAATCCTGTTGTCCATCAATTCGCGAGATTTTCAGAATTATTCCTCAACAAAAAAATCCATCAAATACCAGTCATCCTGCGAATTGAAAGAATTGATTATCAATCGTAGGCCTGATACCTTGACCGTCCCTCCCACTTGTTTCGTCTTTCGACACTTCGAGATATCGCAATAAATCGTCGGAAATCCCGTACTTAGAGTGCGAACGAGTGCTCCAGGTGAATTCCATGGCAACTTCGATGATGAAAGACATTAACACGCTGAATTGTACTCGACGTGCCAAATAATTTCATGGGAACAGTGACTTTTCTCCTGGGAAACTAGCAGCAGGTGAAGATCTCGAATAAATCGAGATTGAACTTCACATAAGACTAATTACCGCACAAAACTACCAGAAATATTCAGGGGTTCATCTGAAATTCAAAGAGTTATTTTTAATTATTCCTAACGAACATGTCACGAACTGATTGTATTCAAACAGCTGATCCAGCATGAGTAAACGGACGTGTTCCCCAGGAGGCACTTCCTCTGGGAACTATTGCATCATAAATTACCTCTTCAACGCAAACTGGATTTTTTATACTCTCCTCGGAATCATTCGTGTATCTCATTAATCTGAGTATTTAACACCAAGCGCCAATAAACTTTTCATTCGGGACGATTTCCAGTAGAAAGTTTTTACCGTCCACCTGTTGCGCTCATCGTATTATCGTCGTTTTAAGGCTTGTTATTAATATTGTATCGAGCCTAGGTAGTTCCTCGAAGCGTAGAAATACTCTTCAGATATTCCCCGAGCTTTCACGTCATTTACGACGTTCTCTTTCACTTTTCGCCCATCGAGTTTCGGTTATTCCACTGATTTTTAAGGAATTCCTCCCAATCTTCTCAATTTATATTTTTTAAAAGAATCTTCTGGGAAATCCCGAATCAAATTGACGTAAAAATACATACGGTATATTTTTGCGTTTAGATTTCATCATTATTATCATTATTCAATGACTCACAAATTTCCATAGTCGTGCGTTTGCTTTTCGAAATTTTTGGTCAAGTCTTGGGATTTTTTTCTCGAAGGTGTGACCTTGCCTGTACCCCAAGTGTAATTATCACAATTGATGAGAAAAGTCTTCTAATGGTCTATTAGAAATTGCCATTGAAAAAAGATTTCATTCGTGGTGATCATCTCCTGTCCTTGAACAGTCGGAGTCACCTCTTCTGAACTTTCACCCTGTCGAGGGCCCTCAAGGGTCAATACCTGTTTTTTTCTTTATTCGCAGTGAACGTGAAGATATTTCTATCTACCAGGAACGTCTTGCGAATTCTCAATTGCCTGATGACTTGCCACTGGGCTATTCTAAGGTGAAGAGCACACACTCAACCGTGGGAAGGATTTAATAATTGTGCCAGGCTTTATTGTCAGAAATTCATAACGTCCTTATAGAATCTCGTCTAACTGTACGAAAAATTTAATGACCTGAATAATTAGAGGCAAAAACAATGGATTAGGAAGTGAATTTCTATCGCAAACGTTAATCTATGATTTATGGATTTTTCTTGCTTCTAAATGATCATTAGAAAGGCTCTGGAAGAGAGATACGTTGAACCCTCTGTGGTCAGTACCACAAGAAACTCTGCAATTTCAAGTTCACAGCCTTGACCAACGGAAAAAAAGCCGAAATGTTTTCTCTATTTCTTCACGACAATTGGTTTTAATTGTATGATAATTCATACCTCTAACGCAACTAGAGCGGGTGAAAGGTGCAATTGTAACAGTGCAGTACCAAAAATGGACGGGAAATCAAGTACCATATATTACGGTGCAAAAAGTTGTAGAAATACTCAGGGCTATGAAAAACATTATTTTCATCAGTGAATAGTTACTTTGGTATAAGGACCAATTAAAAGACTTTCGATAGTGAAATGGTAATTGCAAGGCCACCGACTCGCATTTCTTCATCTCTGATTAAAAAAATGATAAATTAAAAATCTGAGAAAGTGCATTAAATTATTTATCACCGCTCTCCCCTTGATTTTGCATGGGAATCGGCATCATAAATTCGAAATGTCTGGGAATCTCGTCGGTTATCGTCCAGTGAAAACGATGAGATTGAAAGTGTAATGTCTGCATAATTCCCCCATTAAAACATCTCGCTGTTTACCTCCAGGTGGAATGAGGAAATTAATGTAGCTGTTCCTGTCGACTCTCGGAAGTTGTATGAAAAATTTTTTATCCACTTCGGGAATTAAATCCAATGCCAATGATGCAACGAAATCGGTATTGAATCGGTGGAAAAATCGTGGAAATTGCACGATTACTTGATTATTTTCTCCTTTACGGTGCACCAGGTGCCATTCACTTTCACAGAAGATCGAATTAGCGATATTTCCTCAGGCGAAATTTATCTCGTGGTTTAATTCAATCAGTCGTAAACCGAGGACATCTGATTGAATCATTTAGTCCCAATCTCGTTTGTGAATTATTGATTCCATTCGCAGACTTTCAATTTCGATTGATGAATAATTTCTGGAGTTGAATTTCGTCGAGGAATTCGAGTGGATCCTCAGGATGGGGTCGTTACCCCCGGGTAACTGTACCCAAAGCCATTTTCATCTGACATAAGACTTCGCCCGGAAGTCCATCGACGGAGACCGTAATCTACGTGATGGTAATATTTTTTTCGCAATTTATCGTCTAGTTACGATTGGAAAATTGAATTACATATATTATTAACATATCAACGCATTTTGGATCAATGCAATTCTGGGATAGATCCCCAGGCGATGCTGTTGCAATTTCAGTGAAAAATACTAGATTCAACTTGCCACTTGGGCACTGAATTAATTTTCTCTTCATCAATTGCAACGTGGAATTGCACAGGAATTGGGTGATAGGATCAGAGACCTTGGGCTTGCGCACCCATCCTGTGACTCTGTGCTAAAATAATGCGTTTAGGCTCGGGTAATTCAGTTAACGATTCTAAAGTCGCCTCCACCCACATACCTAGTTCTTTAATGTGAATTCTTGCCAACGAAAAAAATTCAAATTGCGCTTTTACACCAATGCCCTGGAATCATTCTATTATTTTTAACGAGCTATTGACACATGGCAGAGTTTCCTCTTAAAACAATTATAAAAACTATTTTTCAAATGATTATAATAGATCTCTACGAATATTTCGAATTTTTCAATAATATTTGAAACACTACCATTTTTTAACATTCTTATATATTTTTATTTATATATATACATAAATAGAAATGAAAATTCAAGTTTAAGAAATTCAAACAATTATTATTGAAGTTATAATAATTGAATTCATTGAATTGTGTATTAGAGTTATAAATAGGAATAGATAATGAATGATTCGTAAATGATTGTTCTAGGTAATGGAAAATTGGAAATACCTATGATAGCTTTGATATGAGTGGAGAAAGCATTATGTGCGTGATAGTTTCATAAAATGCGTGCGTGGTTTCATAAAAAGTCCATAAATTCCACACATGGTAATGTCGCTCGAGCAAACACCATATGAAGTACTTGCAGAGTCAAGGAAGATCGGCCTTTCTAGAGCGATACGCATTTATTTTCACTGCCTTTAACTTTCCACTAATATTTTCCCGTTCATTGCGCTGTGGCCTTGTGTCACTTGACTTTCTAGATGTCCATTGATTTGCCTAATGAAATTTTTAATCTGAGTCTTGCGCTACTTTCGGAGATATTTACATTTGGAATATTAATATTTTCTTTTGATAATTGTAGACCTCGATTATGGGAGACACCCCGAGGATCAACGGACGAAGGAGGTGACCCGCAGGAGGAAGCCATCCCGGGTGACAACACCCGCTAGGTAATTATTTTGTCATTATTTTCAGTGGTAACTAGGTAGTGCAGCTGATATATTTAGAGAGGTTTCTTGTTATTTTTAATTTTACTACTTATTTACGCGCGTATTTTATGGTATGTGGTGAAAGAAAAAGAAGAATAGAATTGTTTTTAGACAAATAATTTTTAAAAATTTCCAAAATTAAATTACACCTTGAAGAATGTTCATGTTTCGACATAAAAAATATTTTCCATTGCTTTTCAATTTTCGTTTTGAATGTATAATATAGAATATATACATAGTATATATGAAATATATATTTCATTCAATTTAGCAAAATAAAACAGCGATACCAAACGTTATATGAGTTTTTTAAATTCAGGAACGTCTTCATGGAGTTTTAACAGTTCATTAATGTGAATTACCGATTAATTTGCAGAGGGGACTGCGTTTATCACAGCTCGTCGAGCGTACAGCGACGAGATCCTGTCGAGGAAGCGGTCCCCCAGGTGACGAGAAGCCAAGAGGAGTGTTACGTGGATGTTATCCCACCTACCAAGCTGGGACTCAACACCTATGGCTATCTCAAAATTGATTACGACAACAGCTGGAATGCTCTTCAACGAAAAATGTCTAAATGATTTTCACTCGTCAATAACTAAAGCTTTATTACTCTAGATTACGTTATACAGAATTTATTTTTTATTTGTAACGAATTACTTTTCGAATGATACGTTGTATATAGAGAAACACTAGTACCTTTTTAGAATTAATTTCTAATTCGCGTGAGATAATTACGATACGATATTTGTAATGTTTTTTAACTCTTCAGGGAATGGAATAAATTTATTTTTCTTGATGATCAATTGAAGATTGATGGTGTAGATTTTTTTTTATACGACATTGACGATCTCGTCGTCAGCGTGGAAAAGCTTTTTCTTCTTTTTTTTGGGTGGAGGAGTAGGACCGGGGGTCTTCGGAATCTTCTCCACGTCGAGGCTCGGCCAGCTGCGGATTTAGAATAAAAATAAAGGTTTAAGAGGGAAAAATTGGTTTTTTGAGAAGAGTCTTACTTGAATGTCGAATTGGAGGGCTTCTTCCTGGGGGCAGGATGATTTTTCAGCTTGCTGGTCCCTTCGTACAGGGCGGGGTGGACAAATGGCTTCTGGGCTAATGCCTGCTCAGACAGTTTCTTAATCTGTCAACAGAAAAATTGAAATAAACCCCCAGATACAGAGAAAATATCTTCTCATTTGAAAAATTGACTTCTCTCTGCAATCAAATCTCTTCATCAATTAATTATTGATTCCACATATATTCACCTTGAAGACGATATTAGAACCTTCAAATAATAGTCAAGTAATTCAAGTAATTAAGACACGTACCTTAGTCTGCAATTCCTCCGCCATTTTCAATTGCTCTGAAATCCTCTGCTCGTACTCGTCCTTCAGCTTCTGTATTTCCTCTCGGTGTTGCTCTTCCTCAGCCGCCAATCGAGATTCCAGTATCTGGACTTCTTCCTCCAAACTCTCGACTAATTCAAGTCACATTCAGTTCCAGCAAACACCCAGAAAACGAAAAGTGAAAATAATAATGAAAATACCTCTTCGATTGTCGCAAGAGTTGCCCTCGATGATAAGACTCTGGTTATTCTGCTGAATAATTCTGATCGTATCCTCCAATTCTTCGATCTTCTGCGTCAACTGGTAATTCTCACCTTGCAATTTGAGCAAAGTATCTTGATATTTTTTTTTATAATTTTCAATAGATGTTGCCAGTATTTCTAGACGTCGGTGTGCGGCCTCCATTTTATTTTTCTGAATCTCAACAATTTCGTCCCTGGCTTTCAGATTGATCTTGCAATTGCAGTAATCCTGGGGCAATATTATTCAATCAATTCGTAGTTCAATTACAAATCAGAAGAAACAATTACTCCAAGCATAATAATGCCCTGAGGATATTTTCTCACCACTTTGATTTTACTGAATTGTTCTAAGACAAGTTGAAGGTCATGGCGCAGTCGAATCTGTTCCATTGTGCTGTGAAATTAATTGCAATATTCAATTGCCTCAAAAGCTCAGGAAGAAATAATTTCAAATCACTTTCCAACTCACCGCTCGTGGCGCCAGAGACCAGAGTCAATCATTACTTTTTTAGTGAACAACACGTTGTAGTAAAACTCATTACCAAATGTGCAGAATATAAACAATAATTATTTTTAAAAACTGCATAATTGAACCAGAAATGCCAATAATAACGCCGAACCCCAGATAAGCACTTGTGATTTTGTTGTCATCGTACGTTTGCGACAGTCTTCGTAGAACAATGATCTTAACCTCCCTGAGCCTTCAGGAGTGAAAAAAGTCAATTAATCAATTATCAATTAATTCAGTCAGCTAATTAACAAAATGTACAGTAGGGTTTTCAGAAGATTTTTATTAGTAAGTGGGCAGTTACCGAGTAAATATGAAACTGTGGTGAAATCCCAAGGGTTTTTTTCTCCGCTGCTCCAAACTCCTGGTGGAAACAGTGGGAGAACTTTTTTTACTGGACTGAGACATTGCAATTCTCAACTGACTCCGGATAAAGATGCTAAAGCTCAAAAGAGGATTGATGAGTGGATCCTGAATCCTGATAATGAGAAACAGTGGAAGGTATTGCAGTTGGAGGTGGATGTTCACAGGCAGAATGGAAATCCTGTGCCAGAGGTGTTAAAACCTAGGCATTGGCTGGAGCTGACTCTCCTGGACAGTAGAAATAAGAGGAGAAAGTATCTGGAGTTTTTGTTCGGCATCGAGAAGAAAAAGGAGCACGGCATGGAGAAGAAAAGATTGGCGAAAGAAGAGAGAGAGAAGTATCTGGCCAAAGAGAGAGACCCATCATTGCCCCCAGTCTACTTGGACTATTGCCTGGGTAGGAACTCACCCTTCCTCAGGTTCTTCGATTCCACGATCAATCAATTGGGCAATTGGAGATTGATGAAGGCCATGATGTACGGACAGAAAATAGTAATGGACTGTGGATATGAACACGAGATGACGAGAACTGAGGCCAGAAATTGTGCTAGACAGATGATGCTCACTTGGGCTGCTAACAGAGAGCATCTGGATCCCTTCGATCTTCACTTCTGCAACTTAAATGTTGATGGTGATCTGCACTCGAATTTTCTGGCGTTTATTCCCACTATGTATGATGATGATTTTCCCATGAATGTCACTTCAAAATCCTATCTCGATCTTTTTGATAAAAAACAGCTCGTGTATTTAACACCAGATACCAACGTAGAACTCAGGGAATTCAGTTATGATGATATCTATATCATCGGAGCACTCGTCGACAAGGTAATATTTTCATTACAGTGGACTTCGTGGATGTAAATCCATCGAATTCGCACTAAACAAATATTTAAATAGATCCCCCACTTTTCTCCACAATTCCTAGAACTTCAAAGGGAAAAATAATAATTTCACAATAACGATTTCGTTTTCGGATATTTACGATCAGAGTATCGCGAAAGTTTTGGGGAAGTGGATACTTAACGAAAGTCCACTGTAGTCGTTTTCCATTAGTCTCGTTATGCAGTTTCGAATTGCCAATTTTTTATTGACAGTATTTCTTGCAATTAATCAATTATTTATTGAATTACAGTTGAGTGGACGACCTCTGTCGATGGCAAAAGCCAAAAGGGAAGGGCTAAGAATGGCAAAACTCCCGATAGACCGTTATCTGCACTTCGGTGGAGGTGGAAACAAGTGTTTAACATTGAATCAGATGATTTCAATTCTTCTAGACATTAATGCCTCCAACGACTGGGAATATGCCCTCAGACATGTGCCCCAGAGGAAGCTATTCCACAACAGACAGCAGCACCTGCAGAACCGAGTGAATAAATTTATAAAGCATTCAGCAGAACAAGCGTCTGTCTTTTCTTCTGGACCACCCCAGGACTTCTCTCTGAAATCCAGAAAAAAGTTTAGAGTAAATTAAACAACCGCCTGTTATCGTTTCGATTTTTGAGTTAATAAACGAGGAAAAAATTGATTCTTCGGATTTTAATTTCAAATGTTGATTACATATTATCAGTCAATGATCCTAGTTGATTGAATCATTCTATTAATAAATACCATTATTCACACTGATGTCGACGATACAGAGATATATATCTATATATATAAATTATCGACACAAAAATTCGGTAAAAATCCTAATTGCGAGTGTAAAACACAGCGTATCAAAGTCTATTTTTTCTCTCAAGTATGAGGTATGTTCAGGCGTACGGACGATCCCTCATAAAGTGAGAGCTGCCGCCTTGGAAACTCCTTTTGATTGACACATGAGGGTACAGCTGTCTCCATTCTTGGACTTTAGTATCACTAATGGCATCACAGAAGCTCAAATCCATCATTTTTAGTTCTGGACAACAGAGGAGCAATCTGAGGCAAATGTCAGGGGTGAGGGATCGAGTACCAAGTAGATCCAATTGTCGTAATTTACGACAGAGGAGGAGGGGCTCTATGTCTCGATCTGTCAAGCCTCGTAGAGCTGCCAGGAATACCTTTTCCAGAGAAGTGCAGCAGGTCAGGAAGGTCCTGAGAGAATCTCCAGGTGCTCCCATGCCCCCACTGTGATAATGAAAGCATGAAAGCATATTGTTTTAAACTCGATTTTCGTTTGATTGAATAAATATTATCATTTGGAGGAATCACTTACCACCATCCGAAATCCACTTCTCTGAGTCTCGTACATCTCGTGAGAGCCCGCACCCCAGCTGGTGTTAAAGTTTGAGATTTCCAGAAGTCGATGCTCTCCAAGAAGTGACAGGAATTGGCAACCTCGACAGCAACTTCGTCCATGTTTAATCTCTCATGCATTCCAGCGAGATTTAAATGTCTCATTTGTCGATTTTTCCTGAGGATTGAGCACAGAGCTGGTGTCTCGATGGCTGTTCTATACAATTCCAGTCGCTCGAGAGCCTGAAGCTTCTCTAGGCTGGCAAATCCCTCGGCTGTTATTTGCGTGCAATTTCGAAGGCACAGCTCCTTCAAATTTTTACACACTGCAGATATTTCTGTGATTACTTGGTCATTAACGAATCTGCAGCAATTCAAGCGGAGGTGAGTCAGGAGGCATCCAGCTGAGGCCATGAAGTCGATGATATTCTGGGGAGAAATAGCGCTGTAGTTGCCACACCAGGAGAAATCAATTTTTTGGAGATACTGGCAGCGTGGACCGAGGACATTCAATGCTCCAGCATCCAGACTATTCCAGTAAGGCTTCAGGTTGAGGCTAGTGTACAGCAATGCATCTCGAGCGACATTATTAAAATGTTTGTTCACCCTGCAGCAGCGGCAGAGGGACTTGAGGTCCAGATTCTTCAGAATCTTCAGAACTGTTTCATCTGGAAGAACAGAAAAACTGCCACAAGTGTTGTCAACACTCCCCTTGGAGCCAGAGACTTCTGGGCACTGCACGGCCACCGTCGTTGACGACAAATTGATCTCCCTGATCAACTTAGGAAAGTCCTCCTGCAGAAACTGCTGGAGACTGTTGAAAGCCTCTTCTATTGGTGGTATCAGATGACAATGCAGTCCTAGTTTAGTCAAGAGCTTTCCTTTGGGGAGTTTGTCTGTTGATTTACTCTCGTACAAGACACAATGCTTGTACAGAGTATTCTTGAGCTTTCCCAGGTCGCAATTCGCTTTTGAGTGCTCTGGTGTGAGATTGTGCTCATCCGAGTCATTAGAGCCACTGCCCCCTAATAGCTGCAATAAGGCACTTATGCTTCGGTTTTGAAATCCAAAATGAGGTAAAATAAGTTCAGTTGTGCCAATGAGTAAGATAGCGTCGAGTTCGGTGTAGTAATCTAAGAGACTGTGGTTGAATTCTATCCTGAGCATTTTAGTTTTGAAATTGCAGAGGGTCAACGGAGGTGAGAATATCCGAGGCTTGTGGGGTACTCTCTGAGGAGGACCACTCCACAATAGCAGCCAATGACCCGAATTATCTCTGGCCCATATTCGTACGACACTACCCGGATTGTAGATCTCGTAAATTGAAACTCTTATGGGATACACTTCCTCGTGGTATTTGACGTCTATATAGTCTTGACTGACAATTGGCTCATTGTTCTGGGGCATAAAGTCACTCAGCCTCGATGGGGCTTCGTTCCACCAGGGCCCATACGTTCTCTGAAATTGATAAGATAAATACGAGTTTATTAATTACATAAGGAGAATAATGAGAGTTACTCTATGATGAGGGATTGTGGATAATAATTACCATGACGAAGGCGTGGGGAAAGTCACCGTAATCTGGAAATTTGCTGGGATTACCAGCAATATTGTATGCCGTGTAGGAGATGCTGATGTTACTCCCATACTGAGAGCTAAAGTCCCCGACTTCCTTGACGTACTGCTCCACAAACGTCACAGATTGATCTTTGAAGCCATTCTTGTCTTTTATTATTGGTACTAATTCGATTCCTTTGTCATTACACGAAACCATGTCATTTGCCTGGGTTCTCCTGAAACTATGACAATTATCAACACGTTATCTTGACACTTGCTTGGGGTGCATTATCTTCACTAATAACCTCATTACTTCGTTTAAATATATGAAAAAAAATTAGCACGGTGGAGAAATTACCTGGCTTCAATTATTTGTTGTTGAGTTGAGTAATAGTGGAGGCGAAGATGCGTTTCATTTGTGTCAACTGTTAAAATAAACGAGGGGAGACAATTTCCAGTCACTGGGGACTACAGATTCTTTTGTTGTTGATACGATAAATGTCACCGAACCCAGCAATTGAGAGTGGACTAGAAGATTCAAAGAGGACTGATTAAACTAGAGGGTCAGTTCTGGGGGTTTAAGTGACCCCAACGGCATCGTAGTACTGCATTCCAAGAGAGGGAGGGCGCCCCACACGCAATGCTGGCGTGTCCATCAAGTCGACGGGGTGAATTTTATTTTCTACGGTACGAAAGCTTTTTGTTTTTTATTTGTTTCACTGAATTTTAGCGGACTGTAGAACGAGCGGAAGGGGGAATTCACATCTTGTGGAATTTCAAATGGAAAAAATTATTCAATATATTGAATATATACTACTACTAAAGAAACTACATTTTTGTAATGAGCGCGTTGTTAAAAAAATTTGCTCAAATCGACTTTTCGATACATGAAATCGATGCGTCTCAACGAGATATAAACGAATATGGCCGTACTTTCGCGCTAGTACGCATAGGAAGCGAGAAAATCGAGATTTTCTAAATCGAAAAAAAATCTAAATCGTTCTTACCATTTTGGGCGTAGATATAAAAGACGACACAAATTTAAGGCCCGAATGGATGATCTGGAAAATATCATTTACTCCGAAATTTGGACTGCTAGTTACTCCGGAAATTAATCGTTTTTTCCAATAATTGCTAGCTAGCACCGTAGCGGTTGTCAACAACTAGAGCGCTAGCTAACAATTATCGGAAAAATCGATTAATTGGTGGAGTAATTAGGAGTGCCAATTTTGGAGTAAATCATCTTTTCCAGACAATCCAACCGGGCTTTAATTCCAATTTCAAAATGCGGCACTCCAGCGTAGTCAATCACTTGTTTATACGCGCACTCGCGATTTATCTGATGGAGCCATATCGACTGGCATCTCGACATCATCTGATCGAGAGATAAAATCATCTCGAAAATTCAAACCCCCGAACCGGCCACGAAAAAATCCACGCAATGGATACGATATAT